AGTTCTTACAATAAAAGAAAGAAAAGAAAAGTGCCATGGTCGAACTTTAGCAGAACACTATTTTTGAAGAATGATTTTGTGAATGATAACTTTTTTTAAATTATTTTGAGCTAAAAGAAGAAGAAAAAAAAGCAAGACATGAACTTTGAAGAGAGAAATTGGGTTCTAACAGCTGACTATATAGAAGCAAAAGATAATTTGGATTTATGTATAGTTTTTGCTTCATCATCATAACAAACATAAAAGTTAGTTTGCTGGATAGATAAATATAAAAGGCAACTTTAGACAATGTAGTACAGGTTGTCCATAAAAGAAAAAAAAAGAGGAATATTATTTAAAGCAATAAAGATGTGAATGCGATTTATTTGCTTAACAATTAGGATCTAACTTATGGTTTTACAATATTTGATTATAATGTATAGACATATATAACATTTTATATCCCATAATTTAATACAAAGCCTAGTTTGGAGTGACAAATAATACAAAAGCGGTAGATAAAAAAGTTCTGTGTGTCTATGTGTGTGCTTGGGGATGACAGCAAACAAGACGACAAATCAAAGTCATGGAAAGAAACATTAAGTGAGGAAAACAAAAGTTAAGAGTGGCGGATTTTGTAAAGTCTTTGATATCAATAAATTTCAAAAGTTTGTTACTGTTGCCAGACCAAAAAGATATAAATGCAATGTCCCTTCAGTGTTATAACTGTACGTTAATGTTTTGTTTCCCTGACTCTAGGGGAATTTAGTCATTACCAAGACAACCGTTTCATCTTCATGGTATCCTGAAGGCACCTTGCCTAAATTTCAAATCACCTTGGTTCATTCTGTAACATATTCATTACACCTGCTGCATCGTCTCCCTTTTTCAGTGTTTTATTATTAAATTACTCCATCTCTGTTTGTATAAAGCATTTCACTTGGCTCCCTTTTCTTCAGTTTGTTTGCTTGAGCAGAGCAGGACTGTATTTTGTTTTGCGTGTTCACACCATTGTGTGGTAAGATGATATATGACCCAACAGAGTTTGGCGTTTGCTTTCAGCTCAGTACTGTAGATCTCACACATAATTTGTCAGGTTCCTAAAGCGCTCTGGTAGAAGTGGCAATGAATCTAGAACTAAAGAGATTCTCTAGACAATAGTGTCATAACAGCTTACAGCATTACTAAGTACCATACATTAGCAAGAGGCCAAGCTTATTTTCATCTTTGAATTGTATATAACCAAAGACATATCACATAATAAGCTCCAGGGTAGAGGATATAGTTTCTAAAATCAAAGCTTTAAGTATTGTAAACTTTAGGCTAATAAAAGCCTCACAGAAGCATCAATTTCGAAGTTCCTGATAGAGTACCTATTGTTCGTCAAAAGAACTGGACACCAGAACCCACCAAATGTGGATGAATTTCAGCAGTGGTGGGTAACAATGCCACTCTGACTATCCACTTTGGAGCATTTCATTCTAAATACACTTCTGTACTTGTAGTTTTTGCAAATGGAATCTGAGTTATAAAAAAAAAAAATTTTAAATGTGAAACTATGACACAACTCCCATAAGCTCTGCCTGCGTACAATGCTGCCTCATTGGACTGTTCATGATCGACATTACTTTGGATAACACAGTTGTGAAGCTGTGGGGCAGTGGTTCAGTGGCACTTTAAATGTTTCACAAAAACAGAAACACTATTGCTTAGACTGAATTACGAATTAAAATGCAAGAAATACTAAGATCAGTTATATGCCCTGTCAGGATGCAGGCAGAAGTCCTCAGCACTGTGGAGATGCTATAGTGGCTGCCTAGAGCCAGATTCTACTCATCCACTTTGCTCTCGATACTCTACTACTTCCTCAAAAACAAATAGTGGACGTGAATAGGAAGAAGCACATTTCTAGGTGTACACCATCAGATGAGATTAGTAATTGAGAAAATATGATATATGTTGAGCTGTTGGCAAGTGTTTTACAGTGAAGACTACCGGGCTCTGTATGCCTCAGGAAAAAAATAGACAACGGACACATTAAAAAAGCAACAATCCCTCCCAATTGCTCCCATTGGGCAATCCAGTGGGAGGGATCATGTTTAGCACCCTGTTTCCCCTAATTCTTTGTTAACACCCCAGTATATTAATATCAGTGCTCTCCACCACTTGTTACAGCTGTAGAAGCCTCTTTGATGATAGGCAAAACGTCTTCTTGAAAAATGCACGTCCAGTTGCCTAGACTAAACTTTTTCAAGCTTGACCATGACATGGAGGACTGAGAATCTTCACAGATATCATTCACTTAAATATGATCGGCGGAACCATGCTCAATCTCAGAATCCTGCTAGTGAAAGACTAAACTCAGTGATAGCAGACCTGAGAAGGCAGACAATGACTGAACAAGTAGAGGCAGGCTCTGAGAAAACTGGATGATGGCTGACGGACTGGACACTGGTTTTGAGCAGAATGGATGATGGTTGACTGGCTGGAAGCTGGCTTTGAGTTGACAGGAACCAGGCAGAATAAACTGGTGACAGGCAAACAGTCCGGACATAACCAGCATCAGACGCCAATGAGAATCCAGTGAGAGTAGGCAGAGCACATGACAAGCATGCTGACACTGGATTGTTTGTCATATATTGGTACAAAGGATACATTTTGTTTGGAAATAACTGAGAGAGGTTGGTATACATAGATAGAGTAAAAGCTGGGAAGAATGAGGGTGATTGGAGAGTGGAATTAGCAGAGTAGAGGAGAAAAGAGAATGGTAACAGCCACCCAACCCAAAAACAAACAGGCAGGACTAAGAACAGATCTATCCTTTAAAAGAGCCTTACAGTAGTTTCTCCTTTTGAGGATCAGTTTCTTTTTTGGATGTTTTTTTTTCCCTCTGGAGTTGAATGCTGTGCAACTGGAAAGATTTTTGCTGATATCTTTTATTTTCTATGAAATGTGCTACGATGCATAACCATAACAATCATTTGGATTTTAGAACCTGAAGAATTTTATTAATAACTCAAAAGCTAAAGTAATACTGTACAACACTACTACACTCCCAAGTCACAAAATAATTGAAAGGATCGATGCAGAGCAGGAAAAAGTAGAAAAGGGAGAAGGAGGAAATTCAACCAATCTCTTCTATCAATTATTATGGTAGATAAAGGATATTTAGAAAACTAGTTGAGGGGAAGTCCAGCTCTTGCAATTAATCAGCCAGAATATTGATAATGCAGTTTCATAGGTTTCACTGAAACATGCCTGCAGGGTCATATTTCAGAGTTGAGCATCTCAGTTATTGTCAGACTTTCTGTCCGACATAAACTTAATATAAGTGATGTTTATGTGTTATATGTATAGTGCCTCAGAGTGTTGACACTCTCTTAACAGCAGTATTAGAGAAGTAAAAAAAAAAATGTTTGGATAACGTTAGTTTTCTCGTTCACATGCATACAAAAGCAAGGTTGAAATGTTGTTTCCTTAAGTCTTAAACTTGTATGTAATACAGAAAGAAAAATTTAATAAAAGTACTATAAGGAGTTTTTAAATGAAATGTATCTTATGAATGAGGCTTGAAAGAGGACGTAATGGTGCATTTGTATTGGATGTAACAGTGATGGCTATAACCATAGGCTAAAAAGCAAAGTCAGGACAGATAAATAGCAGACATCCCCTATAGCTTAAAACTCCTAGGTAGACAAACTCAGGGACATCTGGAGGTCATCTAACACTATTTTACATTATCGCTTCTTATTTTTCAGCTAACATGTCAAGTTCCCAGGCAGCAGCGCTCACACAAAGGCTAATGTTTCTCTTTCCTTCAGTCTCCCTCGTTATTCTTTATCTTTGTTTGTCTTTCTGTCTTCTTGTTGGGAGTTGTTACGCTGTGTTTCTGTTCTGTAGCATAGATACAGTGAGCTACCGACTATTTATTTCATATTATCAGGGCCACTGCTTGCAGGGGGCTTTTGCAAATTATCTGCCAACTGTAGATAATTTGCAGTTGTGTTTGTACACTGTGTGTACACACTCCATGCACACACATACATACACGCATTCTTTCTCTCTGATTGCTTGAATAAGTCATCAGAATTCTTGAGTGTTGTGTGCAACACCTAGAAATATCCTGCTGGATCTAATAGCAAGTTATTTGGACACCCTTCCTGTTTTGACTGCAGGACCAACTTTGAAAAATCAGCATGTTTTGTTGTTTCCTGCAGTTTGATTTGGATTATTCCAAGGGAAACAAAATGAGAACTTGTAAAATAATGAGATCACAAGCTGGGAGCTTAGCTAACACTGTCATGAAGAAATAACATTTAAAAACTTATGGCCCATACCTTGAATCCTTAAAGTTGATAAACCATGGTAATTTTTGTCCACTTGGTCTTTGACCTTTTGGTTTTGATTCAATGTTTGGATTCAAAGTGATGAGTCTTTTTTGTCTATGATGATATGCATGGACACAAACAATAAAACTCAATCTTCTTATTACCCACTGATAGCAAAATAGGAACTCTTTTAAGACTAATTAGCATAGCTTAGTTGGAAAGTAAAATTCTCTAATTTAATCATTTTAATAACATGTTCACAACAATTATTGATACTGGTTCTAAACTTGTAAACTGACGTGTCTATCATTTCATACCAGTAAAAAGATTAGTTCCTTACATTGTATTTAATAGTGTGTTTCTTTGTACCAGGGAGGCAAGGCAGCTTTTTCATTTCCTGCCTTCTCTACTGGATTAACTAATTAATCCAGGTGTGTCTGGCCATAATTAGTTAATCCAGTAGAGAAGGCAGGAAACAAACGAGCCTCCTTAAGTTCAGGAAGTAGTGTAGCTGTGCATAGAGCCCATTAGCCATATTTTCGTTTGATTATTTAAAAGAACTACAACAGAAAACAACATGGCAGCTTCAGTAAGATGCTCAGCTGTTCATTTAAAGGACTATGTAATGTTCTTTTTTTCTTATAAACATGTCTAAATGTTTAAATTAAGTCTTCCTTTTTTAGTTTTACTTTTATTGAATAAATATTGTCTGCTGTCTCAGTCTACTAGCAGTTATAAATTTATTTTTTATTTTTTTAAGCCTTTTAATTGAAGCAATGATCACAATATCTACAAAAATATTAACAATATTATAAAAATGTTTCATTGTGCATTTCACATAGGTACCTTAACTTAAAGTCCTACAAACATGAAAAAGAATAAAATATTCAAAATGAAAATAGATAAAGTTCAATATTGAATACACTCTCTCTCTCCAGTGTACTAATGCTTCCTTTGTGGCCTTAAAAAATGCAAAGTAAATCTTGCTGTTAAGCAGAAGCTACTCATTATAGAAAAATGTAAACCCATGAACTGCTTCAAAAACTTTAGTTCAAGTACAGTTTACAAAGAAAGTGCAACAATTTGATGTTGTTTACCACAGTATCTTGTTCCATCTCTAAAATTATTTTTATATTTTCTTGATTTAAAAAGTTATAGTTTTTTGTATGGTTGCCTATAAACATATTTTCTGTTATGCTTTTTCTATTAATGGTGGAGAGCTTCATTTAAACAGGCAGACTCCTACGTGTGTTCCTATTTCCCTACAAAAGACTGCTAAATAAGAGCAGCCTGCATCCTCCAGAAATGTAAGGTTTTCCACTGTGTGTACTTATACCGGAGTTGGTTACTTTTACCTCTCTGTGCACAGCTGTAAACTGTCTGTCTTAAGGGATCGCAGTGGAAAAGGCAACTTATTTTGAAATCCAACTCTCACCCAGAGGGTAAATTGGATTGAAAGAAGTCAAACGTAGTAAAAATAAAGAGACTTAACAATTATGACTAACCACAGGGAATGATCACATTTTAGTGGTCCAAAACAGGGAAGCAATAAAATTTGCTTTCCCAGATTAAAAAAAAATTATAATAATTCAATAAAAATAAAAACATTTGGAATCAGTTTACCCCCTGTCTGTGTTGTTCAGGTGTGTATTCATATAATTTCATCCAGCAACTCAAAAATGGTTTGATGTGAAAATGTTGGTAGTGTAATCAACTGTATCTTTACATTAGTGTTCTTAAATAAACTATCATCTGAGATCTAGTAAGCCTGATACCACATGACAATTTTATTCTAATTCATCAAACCTAGGTTCTTCTGACTTCAAGGAAAAAACACAATTGGGAAGATTTTGCTACTTTTTTAGAGCCTATAATAATGGGAAACTGTCACATTCTCTATTGCCATTGGTTGGGATTATATGAGCAGTTTGAGTGAAATTAGAAGGGGGCTTTTGCAAACAGATTGATTACTTTTGCAGAGATGACGAGTAACCAGAGGATTAGAAAAGGCTCGCTGTTGCAACACATGCAGCATCCTGAGACCAAATAGTGCATGTAAGACAACTTTGGATATTCATTTCTCATGACATCTATGCTGTTTGTGTCCCACTGTGCAGGTATGAGGATCTTGGTGACGCTGCTGCTGGACACCTTACCCATGCTGGGAAATGTGCTCCTTCTCTGCTTCTTTGTCTTTTTTATATTTGGCATTGTGGGAGTCCAACTGTGGGCCGGACTGCTGCGCAACCGCTGCTTCCTGGGAGAAGACATAATAACGTAAGCAGTTTTTTGCCTGAAATACAGAACTTGTTCTTCACCTGATCTTTCAGACTGGAGGTAATTTAGATTATTGCACGAAAATATTCACTTTGTTGGTTACAGATCAGGTTTTTGTAAAGTTACGTGGTTTTTCTCCTTGGGCTCTAGCAAAATGAAGCTTCAGATATGTGACTTTTTTAAGATGACTTCACTACTTCAATTTTTTATAAACCTAAAATACCCAACATTCCTTACATCTTAGATCCTAAAAGATAAGCTTTCTTATAAGAAACCAAGAATTCCAGATGCCTTAAATGTAATAAATTATTGGAGTTTTTTTTCACATTCTGAGATATTTCTCTTAAAAGTGCAAGTGCATTTTACTAGGATTTTGTGTGATGGACTAACATAAAGTAGTCTATAGTGCAAAAGGGGGGGGATAAACAAGGTTCAAATATGTTTTTATAAATGATCATTTCTAAATGTTTGTGTAAGATTTTACTTCCCTTTCAATTTACAGGTCTGGTATAAGGTAAGGTTGTAGACAAAGTTTAGAGGTCAAGGTTCTAACCAAAGCTTTAAACGTTTTTCACTGATCTCTCCTAAATTCATCAAGTATGGCAAGAAAGCAAACCTATCAAAACAAATCCTACCCTCCAAACTAGTAAGATGGGCAAAAGGAGCAGTGATCAGATAAGCAGCCATTATGTCCATGGTATCGGGTTGTGTGAAGGTTTCTAAAGGACCCAAATGCAAAGACAGAAGCTGAGGCGGTTTCTTGTACATTTTATAAACGAAAGGTGGCAACTTAAGCAAAGGTCCACAAACAAAATATAGAAAACCAAAATCCAGGAGACACCAGAGAAAAAACTCGAAAAGAAACGACGAGGAAACAGCAAACAGTAACTGAAAAGGAGAAGTATATAAGTCAAACAGAACAAAGACTGAGCTAATCAACTGATTGGGAGCAGGTGTGAACTGAATAATCTAGAAGGGAGCTAGTCAAAGGAGACTGACACAAGGGGGCAAAAGAGGGTAAACAAGAAATACATAACAACTCAAATAGAACCAGAAAACAAAACAAAATGGAAACAAAACCAATAAACTAGAAAACACAGAAAAACATGAATCAAATTGTAACCGAATACTCAAAAAGAAAACTTAAACAGAACCAGAAAGTAAGTGTAGAATCATAACATGGTAACTGTGGTAGAGATGCACGAGGGAGCTCTGTCTAAAGGAACTAGCATTGGTTCCATATCAATGCTAAGAGATGGCATAGCATGCTAATGTTATGCTATTCCTTCTCCCACACTGTTTACTGTACATTTGATCACTGCTGAACTTTATGAAACGGAAATGTTCTGAACGCTGTACAAAAAGAAATTTCATTTTGTATACAGTCTGCGTATAGAAAAAAAACAATAAAAGTTGTCTACGGTTATGCACTACAAACATCTAGGCCTAAAGAGTAGCAAATATAAAACCATTTGTTTAAAGAAAGAAATGCGCCTTGTTCATGTTTAGTAAAAAACATGAACTGCCCATAAACCTTTACAAAACCAAAAAGAGGTTTTTAAACAGGTTTTTAAACCCCCTCATAAAAAATAATAATAAACTTTTACCAACAGCAAAAGAAGAGACCCTAGGAGAAGTTATGCATTACTAAGAAAATACACACTAACCATAGAGCTAGACCTACAACAGCATAGTCTACAATATAATCTAGGCTTTTACAATGTATCATAAAAATTGAGAATCTTTGTTGACATTTGCGCTATTCACCCTTATCATATCCTGGTCATCTCCTGGGCTAATTAAATATAATCAATGAATTAAAGCTCTAGAATTTCAAAGCTGGTAGATATGCTCCTCAAAAATCTTACAATAACCATAGAATGCACAGAAAAAAAAAATCTATGGGGCTCAATATAAGAAAAATACTTTTTAAATACTTTTTTTTATTGTTTTGTGGGTAAATCAATAAAACAAAAAGAAAATGCCTTACTTTAATATAGCTAACAATGATTTGCTATTTTGGGTTGATCAGTCACCTAAAATCCCTCCAAATTAACCTAAAGTTAATAAAGCAGTATCCACCACCAATATTCACCAATATTCATCAAAAAGATTTCTTTTTAAACCTGACTAGATCTAAAACTTATATTTAACATATCAAGAAAATTAGAGGAACATCTTCTCTTCCTTTAAATTATCTTGGATGTCAAAACATTCCTGCAGCTACAGAAGTAACATCAAGGTGGCATTCCTCTTATAATATTAGGAGAACATGTAGAAAAACAGCAATAAATGAATTAAGCAGGCAGAGAAAAGCTCACATCCACTGACTTAGAAATTGGTTTAGAAACTGAAACTAAGAAAGCTTTAAAGCAAAAAATGTCAGGTTGAGGTACTTAAACTATGTGATTTTGAAGTAATGGTACAAGTTGTTCCAAAGAAAATGTGGCTGACTGTGTCTTTGTGAAAAGGGAACAGAAAAGCATAAAACTTTTTTTCAGAATACATGGAAAAACTTGCATTTTTGTAAAAAGAAACATATTTTAAGAGAAAGCGAGAGTTTGCAGATACATAGCTGTTAAGCTGTGGCATGGCTGTCAGCAGAGCTTTTTGCTTTACCTCTTCATTGCCTTCGCTTCCTGTAATCCCTTCTGAAAATAGGTAATTTGGTGAATACTGCTAAATATGCCTAAGTGGGCCTAACTGGGCCTTATAATTTGTATCTGCTAATTGGCTTGAATTTCCGAATAACTTCTCTAACAACAACTGCTATTAAATAAGGGAGTGGGCGGAATGGAGAGGAGGATGCTTCATTGTTTACTGAAGCAAATAAACTGTATGGGTATCTTGAGCACGTTAAAAAGACATTATGTCCGTTTAATAAGCAATAAAGCAGATGTCTGCTCCTTACTCCTGATTCAGAGAATGTCTTGTGTGAATTTAGGGTGATTGGAGCAAGAGGTAAGTGGCATAAAAGAAGATAATATTCAGTTTGCTTGAAGGGCCTCAGTATTAGATTATGTTCAGGACAACCTTTGATTAAGACCTCAGGGCCTTTCTCCCTAATTTATAGTTAAAAAAAAAAAAAAAAAAGTCAGAAAAAAAGTCTGGCATTTTTAAATAAATCTTCTGACCAGTAATCAAATATTTAAGGCAAGTACTGTGCATAATTTGATGACCTAACCCATTTGGTGACTAGTGGGGTCAATAATCAGATTTTAAAACAACTTGCTTTGATTGGACTGAGTCTAAATCCTATTAAAGTTCACCTGAAGGTAGCTACCCACCTCTTGAAGTCTGCACAAAATTGACAGCAGGTATACTGTAGATAATCCACTGTCACTTTTTAAATTACAATTTTTAAAATTAGATTTTGTAGATTTAAAGAAATATTAGACTGCAAAATCCTTTCAAATACTCTATGATGGCACATATGGAGTATCGTTCAACAGAAAAACAAATAAACCAGGCGCAAACTATAAAGCAAGTGTAAACACCATTTGCATTGTTGGGCACAGTACCTCCTTCAATACTTTATGAACAATCTGGCATAGAGAGAACATACAAACTGTTCACAAAAAGGCTTAAAGGAAAAGTCTGGTCACATTCAGAATACAAAAATCTGAAAGTACTTTAGGAAAGAATTTATTATATACTTTTCAATAAATGATAAGTGTTTTTAATTAAGAGAAATTTCATTTGAACGTGCTTTACTGGAGACATCCATGTTGGTCAAAGAACAATTCTACCACCTACTGGTTTGCGATGTCACAGTGAGGTATTAGCTGTTGAGCAAGTCCCAGTGCTGTATCTGATGTTTGTCACAACACACTATTATCCATGATGGCAACGACCAGTGCACTATGCACAGAAGTTATTCCTTGCTGACCGGACCTTTCCTTTAAGTCAAACTAGAAAAGAAAAACTTAAAGAAAAAAAATTATGTTGGGAATTTCACCTTTACCTCAATGTTACATTTTAACAACAATATTTAGGTGGTGATTTTTACCCTCCTAGTATAACAATGATTAGATGCTGCAAAATATATTATGGGATAGAGGAATACCTCATGGGAGAATGTAAATTCCTACTTATCCATGCATTCACTGACTGTACATGTTTGTTCATCCTGGGGACAGATTCTTATTTACACCAGAAAATCTATGCCCTGCAAACATTTACTCAGAGCTACAAATAAATGGTCCGAACATATTTATGGTTAAAATAACTCGCTGGTAGTTCAAACCGAAAACCAATTAAGAATCCATGATGAGACTTAAAAAATTAATGACAGTGATAACACTGTCTAGCTAAGCTGACAAAGTTAAAGCTAATTTTATTAGGTAGTACATACACTAAAGTCCACTCTCTCTGCACAATTATATTAGAATATTTTGCCTAAGGTACACTTATAATTGGGGAAGAACTCATACATAAGTGTGGAAATAACAAATAAATGAATAACTAATGGCATTAAGATGGTTTCCAGTTCCATTAGGCACACCAGGGAAATGTTCACATTCAAAATTTGTTTTGGTTTCAATACTAGATGTCAAAGTTACATAAATTTATAATTAGACAGGCAATTAAACTCCATATATATTTTTTTTGTCCAAATCAGCTGTCTGTATGATATATTAACACATTCACTTTTTGTTTTGTCTGTTTTTATATTTTTTTTCCACACAGGCTTTACAACCTCTCCATAAACCCATACTACATGTCTGAGGAAGGTGAAGACAGCCCATTTATCTGCTCTGCTCCCAGAGAGAACGGGATGCTGCGCTGCCATAATGTACCGCCCTTTAACCAGAGAGGAGAGGATTGTTCGTTACCTGCTCCCCATCACAGTTCTTCTCTCATTGGTTCACCACCTGGAGCGGGTGGGACGAGCAATAGCAGCTGTGTTAACTGGAACCAGTACTACAACGTCTGCCGCCCAGGGGACCTCAACCCCCATAAGGGAGCAGTTAACTTTGACAATATTGGCTACGCATGGATAGCTATATTCCAGGTGAGAAACAAAATACATTCCTAATGTAATTGTAAAAAGTACTCAGACACGATGAAAGTCTTTTCCTCATTGCAGTCTATAAACTTACTCTGTACTTTACTGTTGATGTTTGTATTTTACCTTTCTCTTGCAATTTTACTTACATCACAGCAATGTATGTGGCTTTTCTTCCAATGTGCTTTGACTCTTTGTTACATACGCCTTAGTAAACCTAATTTAAGTCTTTTGGGATAACATTTTTTCTTTTGGAAAGCATGTGATCGTGTGGACTTTTTAATACAGCTGTTTACTCAGACTTTTTTGCTGCAATTCTATTTTTGAAACATTTAGACATTTAAAAGTCATGTATCATGCTTTTTTTAAAGCCTTTTAAAGTCACCTTTGGGCAAATATGTTATGCAGGCATGTCAAGTCTGTCTTTGTGGGATGCTGTTTTAAAAGTTTTTCCTGCTTCAGCACTGCTTCAGTTTCCATTGATTGCTGATTAACAGCCTTTTGCTGAACTGCAATCATCATAATCAGCTGTACTGAAGCTGAAAAACCTTGAAAACCTGCAGGACAGCGACCCTGGAGGGCATGTACGAAATTTTGATTTCAGAAGTCGGGGAGACGCAAGTTTTTATTTAATTTAACTAACTACAGTGTGTTTGACCACCAATCACACAAGAAAAGACAGTGGGCCAAAGAGGAGCTTTTGGGCAGTCTAAATTCAGGGAAGCTGGCTTCAGCTTGAGCTGGGGTTTTCCACTTGGTCCTAGTGCTTGACGAATGTCTGTGTACTGTAGCATGCAGAGGACCAAAACGCATGTTTTGGTACGTGTCTCGTGCAGGGGACATGTACTAAAATATGCGTTTTGGTCCTCTGCATGCTACAGTACACAGACATTCCCAACCAGGATGAGACTACTTTTGGATTCCATTAATACTCATAAAATATAACACAAGCATCACAGGGTAGGTTTAAAATTTCAAGATTCCCTTTAAGCAATTATCAGAGGGCTTTGTGGATGTTGAGTAAAATTATATAAATGGCACATCTCTCAGCCCAATGAACTGAATCACTTGTACATGAATAGGAAAATAATGTTTTCAACATGTAACAATTTCCCAAACTTGTAATCTTGCAATTCATATTAGTTATTTTCGAGCTTTTATGATTTATATGGGAATCAGCTTTTCTAGCACTGCAATTTAAAAGCAGAGAATAGGGAGATAAGGAGATATGAAGATAGAGATATACATATGATTAGAACACTCTTGTTTCAGTACCTGTTCTAAAAGTAAATTGAAAAATACATTAAACATAAAAAAGTCAAGACATGTCTTACATGTTTTTATGAGTTTAAAAGTAAACAGCAGGAAAAAAGTAGATAAATTATACAAAATACCCTAAACAGAGATGGAAGATTTAGAAGAGCAGGGGATTTATAGCCCAGTATAGGAAATTATTGTGGATGATTAACTTATATATTTTTGCCAGTTATGTTTTAGGAGCATTATTGGTCAGTTTAATCCAAAAAGAAACCATTTGTATCTCCCAGGGTTGTTATATTTATACAAGCAGTCTCGTATAGGTTTGCTATTAATAAGAAAAAACTGAACCAACTAAACATTTAAACATTTCATAATATGTTTTTTAAATCCAAACCTAAGCTTTTCCTTATTTACTTATAAATATTCTATTTAATTAAGAGTTAATTGTGAAGTGGTGGATTGCATTCTGAGGAGGTTGCAAGTACTGTGCCTGGTTCAAACCCCAGAGCCTTCCACTCTGGTTCCCTGAGCAAAACCCTTTACCCAAGATGGGCTTCAAGCTGCCGACTGCTCTCTAAAGGATTGCCTAAATGCAGAGGTCACATTTCAATGTAATGTACATTTGTAGTGTCCAGAGATGGGAAGTTTAAAATTACATATACTCAGTTAGATTTAGTTGAAAAACTTTTATTAAAAATATAACTTTAATGAATAGTTGATCTTATCTTTACTTTTTACTTTCATTTAAGTGATATTCTTGTGAGAGTATTAATACTCCTACTAATCTTCTGTTTACCTCACCTGCCACAAGATACTTAAGCTATTGGAAATCAGGTAATTATACGGTAAATAGTAAATAGGAATTCTGTATCATTTCCTAACATAAGCAATACCAGCTGTATAGATTTTGAAGGTTAGTATAAGATCAAGTTTAAAAAATGATGCATTGCACAAATGCACAAATTTCTTAGTGTGATTATCTACATTTTTTTAGTTAATTCTATATTTTAAAATAATAAAATTTACACATAAACATAAACAGTGTAACTTTAAAACATTAAATTAGATGTTGTAATCCAACAACTTAGTACTTAAGTACATTTTACCGAAAACTTTTTATTTGCTCTTTAGTAATTTTTTGGATGACTCCTTTCTGCTTTTAAGTTAAAAAACAAGGTTAAAGTAGTGCTACTCTAACTTGGGTAATTTTTTGTGGATACCCTACTCACCTCTGCCAGTGACCAATAAATGTGATTATACATGTCGTTATAAAACTATAGATCGTGACTTCATATACAAATTAGCATGCTGATAGTGTTCGCATGGCTTTTTGCTTTGGTTCTTTCTTTATTATTTATTTGGAAGATTTTGGTTGTTTATTATAATCCTATTGCCTCCATTCATGTTTAATTATTATTAGATTTTTCTTGTGTTCTGTTCTTTGTTTATTTGCTTATTTGCTTTATTTTAGTTATGTAGATATTTACTAATACTTGCTTTTCGATTTCTGTTTTTATGTTCTTCTTGTACACTGCTCTGCTGTTATGCATGTTCTTCCAGTTTGCCATCTAAGTTTCGGCCTAAGGTGTCAAAATTGAGATTCAAATGTGTTTCTAGTGTGGCTAAGCTGACTCGATGCTTTCAACTATCCACATCTTACTTGCTCATTAGCATACAAGCTACAGTACATGAAAGAGTCCACAGGCACAAACACGTATGCACACAAAAGGGTTTGAAAGGTCTTGTAAGCTTGTCTTCATTTTTTTCTTTTTCTCAGAAATGCTTCTCCTGCTATCGAAATATTATATTGTAGCTTATTAAATCTTGTATATGATATTAATATCACATTGTCTTCTTGTTGTTACCAGGTCATCACACTGGAAGGATGGGTGGACATCATGTATTACGTCATGGATGCTCACTCCTTCTACAATTTTATATATTTTATACTGCTCATTATTGTAAGTACCACCTTTATATCTTATGTAAAATATCTAAATGTAACAATAGATATGCCCCACTATATTGCATATTTAACTCTCTGTTAAAAGATATGGCTTAACTTTTGGGATACAAAAAAAAGAAACAATAAAGAAAGTGCTGTTGCAACTGGTGACTAACTTTAGACAACATTGTTTTCCAACTTTTAATTAAATATTGAAATAATGGGTCTAACTGGGCTAAATAGATGCTAAAACTGCTTGTCAGTTCAGATCATCTCAACACACAATCATCTGATTAATCAGATGAATGGATTTCAAGTTAACTCTGTTCAATTATTTTCAAGATTTATATAACTCAGTTTATCGTAGTTCATTTTTGCGATTAATATAGTTGTGCTCGAAGGGCCACTTCTGGAGCTGTTTAAAAGTTACCTTTTGTATCTCTGCTTCTTTCTGTTTGTCTGCTTATGTCTCCTTGAACCCCAGTCGGCCTCAGCAGATCGCCGCTCACACTGAGCCTAGTTCTGCTAGAGGTTTCTTCCTGTTAAAAGGGACTTTTCCTCTCCACTGCTGCTACAAGCATGCTTGGTGTGAGGGGATTGCTGTCCAGTCAATAAGTCGATGCAATCAGCTGGTTTTCCTTAGATAGAAAACTGAATTAATCTGACTGTATGATCTGACTGAATTGTCTCTTTAATGTGCCTTGTGATCAGATTTGTTTCGTTTAATAAACAGAAATTTGCTAAATTCACTTCAACTCAGATAAAAACTTTTTACTTAATTTCTATTTAATTTAATTAAAAACTTTTTAATTCAGTTTGATTTATTACAGTTATTCTCCCTCATTTACTTATCTATAATAAACTTGCTTCAATTCAGTTCTGTTTGATTTGAATTTATACTCTAAAATTGAACAAAACATTTTTCAGTTCATTTCAATTATGATCAGTTCACGCCAGTTTTATATCCGGGATAACTTATTATTACATTTTAAAAATAAATCAACATCATTTTACCTCAACAATACCTTTAAAAAACTAGATGGTCCAATTTAGTCCAAGCATTATGATATTATTATATAATTTCAATTAATCTCTTTCAACAAGTTATTTTAAGAGAAGTATTAAAATACTAAAACCACTTCACCACATGTACTGATAAGGGTTCAGGTTAATTTTCCAACAGGCACCTCCAGTTGTCTGATTTGAGGTTATTCAGGAAAAAAAATAACCTTGAACAAATTTTTAACAACTCTCTTACCCATAGACAGCCCTAAAAATTCTAACATCTTATTTATGTTGGAAGCTGCAATCTGTGATAACTCTGGGAGATATTGATTTGGGCATAATGGATTCTATGCATGAATTGCGACTTTTCCATGCATGAAGATGTACAATTATGTCGTATAGAGTAACATGTTTGTCTGATAGTGATCAGGTAATTTCTGATGTATATTTGTCATGTTGGGGGGTTTTGATTTCAAACTCTTGCACAGATAGATGATTATTTACAGTAGATGGTCCTAAAGCATGTAGAGGTTTAATTATTATCCATAGATCTTAAAAATGTACCTGAGAAAAAATAAATGGGTTGTGAGTTATCCTTTGAAAGGTGGGGAACTTTGGATGGACAGCTCCAATTTCTGCCTTGTAGTCGATTCTGAATGGCAGCTGTTTGGTTTCATGCCAAGAAGAAGCACTGATGCTGATGGAAGTTATGACAAAAAGTAAAGTAGGTCAGAAGAAAGTAGTAAATGGTCTTTTAAGACTAGTACTGTAAGAGGGCACATGGGAGAGTAGCAAGAACATATTTTTCAACATATACAAGATAATCTAAAATAATGTGAGATAATGTGAGGTGTTCAGTGGCTGTAGTAAGGTAGAGTCAGACTTCTCTGAAAAGGGGCTGAGTGGGTGTTTGAGCTTATTGCTCGAGTATATCTTTTACCTGAAAGAGGGCTAAAAGGCAGGCTTATAAGTTTAAAATTGTGCATCTTCTCCAACTTCTTCAAAATTATACACCACTGGTCTACAAAATAAAGTCTCATAAAACACTGAAGTTTGCTCTTTTAGTGTGACAAAGCCTAAAAAAAAGTGTATGAAGTCATTTGTAAGGCACCCTACATTTATAAGGGAGATAAGAATGGACACAGAAGGCTGAATAGATTTAAATATAACACAGAGATGATGAAAAAATTGGCATGGAGGTAGTTATCTGTGTCTATCAAATTAGAGAATGGCTAAAGAGGATATTGATGTATATTGCAAGAAAGAAACGGCAGACAATTTGCAGAGAAAAATACAGACGGGCAAGGGATTATTAAGACAAATGGTTAGAGCTCTGAAGGGAAACAACATTAACCACATGTTTACATCAGAAGCAACTGAATATACATTTGTGTTGCATTTCAGCTCTGTTTTAGAGAATTTAGAATAACCCTTTCAAAGTGAGCAGGTAAACTTCCTTTCTATCATAATCCCCTTCTACTAAAATTTGCATATTTAGAAGTTTTAAACCTTAAAGCCCCCATAAGCCTAACATTTGATATACAAACTGCAAAGGAAAGAGAGAAATATTTGGTGTTGGGAAGAGGAAATGGCCGAGAGCAAAATACAAAAATGGCTAAATTAACTTACTGTAAATAACATTAAGAAAAGATGGAACTGCATAATGAGAGGAAAGAGTGAATGCTCAACAGAATAACCGGAAAACAAGAGACAAAAAGTCTTTAGTAATTTTAGTAGGGTGGTTCTTCCTTTGAAATTTTTAGCATTGCTTTTTCCAGAAGCTTTGCCACAATTCCATGTCTTCTTCATTCATTGCTATTCTGTCTCTGGGGTTTGTTTGAGCCACAATAACCTAAAAAGAACTTTGAAATCTTTTTATTGACTGATTTTTTGACTGATTTCTTATCATTTCTGATTTCTTTTTTAGATGGTAAATAAGGGAACCCTTTTTTTAAAATAAATTTTAGGCTACTCAATCGTGTGAGACAGTTTCTGTTTAAATGTCATCTGGATTCAAAGGGCCAGGCAGTAATTAGATCCTGGGTTTGGATAGTAACTTTACCAAAAACTGTGGTTTAATCACTGATAATAATTATTTCTTAAGAAGAGGAAATACCTTTTCAATAATCTGAATAGCTTTTCAAAATCAAATCATAATTATAATATGAAATCATTTTATAGAAACTGTTATACTGTCTGCGAAATGGAAGTGAAAATCACAACAGGCGTATAGTATATAGTGGGGCAAACTGTGTTATTTTAAATAAGAATTGTGACAATTCTAAGATGTCTTAAATTAGATTTTATTCGTAAAGGTCTTGAAGTTGTTCTTTTAGTTTTGTATATTCGTAGTTGGTCTTAATTGTTTTATTTGTTCTTTTTTAACCAGGTGGGCTCTTTCTTCATGATAAATTTGTGCCTCGTGGTCATCGCCACCCAGTTTTCTGAGACAAAGCAAAGAGAAAACGCCTTGATGAGGGAGCAACGTGCTCGCTACTTGTCTAATGATTCAACTCTAGCCAGTTACAGCGAGCCAGGCTCATGCTATGAGGAGATGCTACGATATATCAGTCATCTTTACAGGAAGTTCAGGCGCAGGCTGCAGAGAATGTACTATGGATGGCACAGGTATGAGTAGGCTGAGTCCTGCTGAGATTTATCCTTTCCATTTCTAAATGGCATTAATTTGATTTATAAAGTGCCAAAATTATTTTAGTAGTTTCCAAAACTGGTGCTGGTATTGGTTCTTAGCTCACTTTCTAAGAGTACAACAAAGAGGTTTGGTTTAGTTTGACAAAGACAGAGAATCCTCGTTATATAAAAACTTGGATAATACTAAATTATCTGTGTTTGTCTTGATGACCCAATTTCCAATTCTGAAAAAAGTGACTCCATCTACTTTGCCAAATAGGCTTCAAAAATACTTTGTTGTTGAATTCAGTTTTATTGAATCTAATGTATTTTGTCTTTAGCATTTAACACTTTGTATTTTTCAGCAGTTAGTACTATTGAAGAATGCATGTCTGTGATCAATAATTATTTCTGTCTTTTTTTTTTAAGCAAAAGGCGTAAAAAGGTGAACCCTAATGGCGGTGGAATTGGCAGTAATGGTGGTGGGAACGGACATGGCCAAGGTTCCAGCAGGGGTTCAGGACCTGGCACAGCATTATGGCTGAGGCCAATTCATAACCTCCTGCAGCACCATCAACACCAACACTGTCGCCTCAGCAACGGTGGACAGCACACAATCAACACCACAACTGCTGAGCACACGGATCGGGAAGGCCGTGTTGAAAGAGGGGATGAGTTGGAGATGACGTCTCTTTCTGTTACAAGAGAAAGTACAAACGGCGATAATCCTCCTGATGTCTCTCAGGGAATGGGTGCCCTGCTTGGGCAACTAAACGGGGGGATGAACTATCCTACCATTCTGCCATCTTTTGTGTGCAGCTACAGTAGTAAGACGCCGCCCCCTCACTCGAAGCAGTGCGGGCGCAGTCCAGAGCAACATCCATTGAACCATCCAGCGTCTGAGCACACAGAAGCCCTGAGCAAGCTTTACCAGCTTATGGGACAGCACAGTAAGAAAATCATAACACACAATGCAGAGACTTTTTATGCCTTGCAAGGAATTTTATCACTACCTAAGTTTTTTGTCACATTATAACCATGTGATAGACCAACTGGCCAGATTTTGAATGACATTATTTTTGTCATAAATTCCTTTGCAAAGTGTCCCATATCGTAGCTATCACACCTATCCCCATTTTGTGTTTAAATATATTTTAAAAGTTTATCTGCCCTCTCCCTGAGCTTGACCAGAGGTAGAATGCATGCTTCTTCATGTGTCTTAAGCAGCACTTAGAGCTGTGACAGGAAATCCATTTGTCCAGTGTTACAGTGATCAGTTCAGAGAGTGGGATAAAGAGCTTGGATAGAGTGGGTCAACATAGTCTGGGGAGAGTGTCACAGAGTTGGGAAATTAGACAGTGCAAAGCAGTGTCAACACTGACAGGTATGCAAGGGTATCTGCAAAAAAATAAATGAATGATGGAGAAGAGCTTCAAACAAGAAGCATTTAGTATGAAATATGTGCTATCCAGTGGGACAAAGCAAGAGAAGAATGCAAAGAGAGAAATTATTAATTAATAACAAGTTAATTTGGGAGACAGCATGAAAGACAGAGAGAGAAAGATGGAGAACAGCTCTTGTGTGTTACATAATAACATTTTCAAAGGCAAAAGCAGGATGATAGATTCGTCTCTTCTGTCCTAATGGGGTGAGACTGCCAGTGACGACCCCCACTTTAGATATGCAAGCTCATTTTCACACTGCTGACACTCTAAAAATAATTAAGTGCACATAGATTGGTGCCTGGCAGAGAAGAGACGTGGCATGTGATACTTTTAAGTGGAGCATTAGTGATAAAGGCTAAAGCCAGGAAAATGAGGAGCTAAAATACACCAAAGGTTGTACTGATTTTAGCCCCTTTTTTACATAATTATAACTATTTTCAAGGATACATGAATTGTAGTGAAAGTGAGTTAACATTTTTTATTTCCCAGTTTCAAGTCTGCCTTTTATGGAGAATAGAGTTGTAAATGCACAATACTTGACTGACATGGAATTAATGAGTTTTAAATACCTCATAGGACCAATTATTTCCTTCTTGGTAGCCACTGTTTCCTTCGCACTGTAAGATGAGTTGCTTATAAAGGCCATGTGTCAATCCAAATATAATGTGTTGCTTTTAGTGAAAATTCTAATTCCCAAATGTTTGATGCAACCTCAGTTAATGAGAGACACAAAACCAAAGCTCATGTAGCACAACCATTATTTAATCAGGGATCAGTCGAGAAAATAGTTAAATTCTGAAAGTTTGCCTCCATGGTGGGATTTTTAAGCTGGGTCAAACAACGAGATGCAGATGCATAAAGAAAACATAGGGAAAAAAGGTCCATAGATTACATCTCTTTCAGCAAGTCAGATTTCTGTTGTAGCCCTGTTGTTAATAGGTGTCAGAGCTAGGTCACTCATTGGTAATAAACCTCATAGTGTAATTGCATTAAAGCATCCTAGATTTTGGTGAATGTGTCCTGCACACAAGCACAGCCTGTCCTCTGAAGTATGTTAAAAACAAAATGTTTTTTTTTTATATAAACAAATATTTCACACATTAATGTTCTAAAATTAATGAATAAGTATTATTGGATCCAAAATCTCTGAAAATATGCACAGTCTTTAAAGATATTTAATAAAAAATGGAGCAATCAATCACTTTACAACAGTTATAGTAAGAAAATACTCTGAAATGTGTACCACATTATCCTCACACATTTTATCCCTTTAGATGTCAGGCAGCATCCTAGAGAAAATTACCTGCTGTTTAAGCTGCTTTTAAATCGCTGATGTTTCCACTCGTTAAGCTCTGCTTATGGTGTGCTTTGCATTTTCTCTAGTCTTATTTTAAGTCTGCAGTCAGAAAACAGCAGGTAAGAGCAGTAAGCCAGACTGATGATGAAAGGTGAGCTTGCAGTACTAACTGTGACGGCTAGTGTCTGCAGGCTCTTGGTGGAAACCAACCAACCTTTTATTTTTGTGTGCAAAAGTTCACTTATCTCCTCTGTGTTTTTGTCTTTGCAAGGTCTGTTTTTTATATTGTTCTGATATGACTGTCATGTTTAGGTAATAGAAAATATCATTATATCTTATGATATATACAGCAAAATAATGTAATCGTGAAATTCTTGCAACCCAAATCAAATGTACCTTTTCTTTTTCTCAGACTTGTGGTAATAATAACTGATTTTCTAGCAGTGTTAGGTGTAACATCTGTGGTAACAGAGTTATTTTTTCAGTAACAAAGTAATCTAATTGATTACTTAATGCGGTAACTTTGCTTGCAATCCAAATTGGCACTGTATTGTAACTCGATCAATCGAAGCAACTTTTCATAAAGGCACTTTCTCTGTTGCAGGGAGAAAGATCTTTCAGTGCAGGGAAGGAGCAGCAAATGTGATACAGGCCTATGATTTGTTGAGGGGATGTAAAGTGGGCGGGTGTTACAGTATGTATGCAATGGGGGCTCAAACAGAGAGGAGAGATGTGAAGGGAGGGCAAATCTGCACAGCCAATGAACATTTCTAAACTGGAGGTGTTGATGTTTAATATTAAATGTTCTATATTTAATAATTGTACTCCCAGTTGTATTAAAAAAGCACATAACAAAAAAGGCATTCAAATTCATTGTGAGTTTAGATTTTGATATATAAATGCTTAGTTACTTTGCTCAATAACTCGTTATTTTTTATTTATCAGTCGTTGATCTATTAGCTTTAATCAGTAAGTCTTGGTTGTCTTCCTAAAGCAACATTTCTCCAGTGTAAAACAAGGATAACAAAAAACTATAATTATTTTAAACACCATAGGTAGCCATTTTCATATGGATATTTGTGATGTCCAAGTTAATGAGAGATTTGTACTGGGTTACCTCACTTTCTTAAAATAGACATACCATCAAATACACCATTTATGTACAGTACTAAAGTTAAGATAATCTCCTCAGACTTGAAAAAAATCACTTCGGTCCAGATATTTTTTTGTTTCTATCAGAGAAATGTAGGTAAAGGTACAATTATATCCTGACTTATGCCAGCACAGACTGCCCTAAATAAACATGCATCAACATCTAACCACTAACAGTGATAAGCTGAGGTTAGGAAAGTGAGTTTATGTTAATTTACCAACTTAGAGCACAGAACTTAACTTTAAAATGTCATTATTAGGCAAGCCAACACTTCTCAATTGCAAAATGATACATAAAACCAAAACGACAACAAAATGAAAACAGCCAGAAACATGCTTTCCGGAGATTTCTGACCTTTTCTATCACTGTCTTCCTAAAGGTCGTCAGAAACTGCTTTTTCAGCTGGCAGGCGTGGTGCCAAGCCCTCTGCTTTTGGAGTTGCTTAGCTGCCCTATGTGTGCCCGCAGTCTAGAGACCCTGGAACTGGAACTGGGAGACCTGGAAGGGGGTAAAGCAGAGGCAGATGGACTACATGACTTTCAGCAGGTCAGAAATAGTCCTAAATCTACTTGAATTATAGTTTAAAACAAAAAATGTGTTCATTTCTGGCCCATAAGCTTATATTTGTAATTATTGGTTCATGTACATTTGAAAGATCAGTAAAAACTGAAATGTGTTGATGTGGTCAAATCTCAATTCTCAGGGGTGTGATCTAAGAGGACTGCGACGTCGGTTTCGACGGTGTGAAGTTGTGGAATACAAAAACGGAGTGTTTCGGGCCTGGAAGGACTTTAGGGAAAAATTGAGGAGAATTGTTGAAAGTAAATATTTCAACCGGGGAATTATGATTGCCATCCTCGTCAATACCCTCAGCATGGGAATAGAGTACCATGAACAGGTAAGATTAACACTGAAGTTGTACGCATCATATTTTCTTTAAATTGCATTTGGATGTCTGAAAATGCTATATTACAGATTGAGTGTACAGAACACTTAACCACCTAAAAGAAACCTAAAAAGAAGAATTTTGTTAACCGAAGTGCTTTACAGAAAATAGAAAAACATTTTCCATTTCTCATACATAAAAACACATCCAGACTAAGTTAGCATCATAGGCTCCTGGCTTATGTTCCTTCTTTATTTTTCTGGCAAAGATCTGGATACTTGGGGTTCTCAGACGTGTCCTCATTTCTTTTCTCCTCTTTGCTGTCCTTGCCTCAGTCTCCTCCGATTTTCTCTCCTGGCAAAGTGTCTGCACTTGTATCTCTGTGGTGTAAACATGGGGAGAGACTGGGTGAGCCATTGCCTTTTAAGGGCAATACTACATCCAGATATACACACTGAAGTGTAATTTATGAGTTCCTTCTCACTTTGGCGCTGATAAACCCCCCATTTGTGACACCTAGCCAATTTTTCTCAGCCTAAGGGTGTATGTGTGCATGAATGTAGAAGACCTTGAACTGATGGTTCACCATGAGCGAATTATGGTTCTGTTTAGACTGAGTCAAACTTGGATTTTTTTTTTTTTTTATTACAATTTTGTCATTGGAACAAACTATTTGCAAAAGTTCTATTAACCTAATAGGTTTTAGAAAATAAATAAATCCTTAAAAAACTTGCTAATTAAAAAATACAGACAGCAGGATTTTTTTATTGTTGGTTTGTTTTGGTTTATGTCTTAACCCCTGCATTTGTTGCCCCTAGCCCTGGACTTACGGTAGTAGCAATTCAAAATTTCCCAACTTTCCATGATGGGCCCTTGGCCGGTCCCCTGCAATTCCTTTTTAAACATCAATCTTTATACTAAAATATTATTTCTGTAATGATTTGTGGACATTAAGATCTAAAGAGAAGCGTTATCTCCTGGTCAAACCCTGTAATTCAGTGAAAGGGTGTCAGATTAAAAATAATGCATGGCCAGGAGAAGGCCAATGGTTAGAAGTCTAAAGAGATTTTGCTGTGAGTCACATTCGGCTGACGTTTGACTGGGAAGGGCCGTTTTAAATGGCTGCTACTGTATAACTGTTTTTCTTTACAAGTGTTAGCAGATAGCATCTGAAAAGTCTACCTTATTTTTTTTACTTCAAAATCAGTCTCAAACACTGTACAGGATAATACAGCACTTCAATTATTTTAACCTATGCTTATAATATTACCGTACAATGTCTTTAGCAGATAAGGTGGCAATAAAGCCGCAAGACAGCTCTTCTTGAGACCCACGTTACATGAATAATATTATGAGATTTTGGTATTGTCTTGTAAACGCTCTTTAACCCATTATTGGAAACCTCACAATGCAAAATATATACAAAATTGCCATTTTAGGATCAATAAATAAGTTTTAATAGGGGATATAATCTGTTTATAGGTAGAATCGCTTTATAATGGTAGTATTGTATGACCGCATTAAAAACAAAAAAAAATAAAGGACAAAAAAATTTTAATGACATATTCAATGACTTTTAAATTTAAACATAAAATATAGTGTCTTAAGAATTGGGACTTCACATTTACTTTACAATAATTTTAAAATTTATATATTTAACATCAAAATCAACATGAGTTTCAATACTACAACTGTCTTTACTCTGTTTTAGACTGATGTACGTAGTGGTTCTGGTCCCATAAAATCCAAATACATGATGATCATCATCAGTGTTTGCAATGCAAGAGAAGCTGCATGTGTGGGTGTGAATCTCTTGTCTCGTTGGGACTTCAAAATATATCCGAAAGGCAAGGTCACGCTGAGAGTTGTATTCAACGCTCTCAACAAGGTCTCCTCTGTTGTACACTGTTAACAGTATTTTATTTAGAAACACTGTTGTATAAGGACGCAATTGTTTAATAAAAAGAAGAGACAGTACCTGAGATCACTTAATAATATTGGTAGGACTAATAAAATTGTGTTAAATTAAGCTATATGCATGAATGACCCAACAATAAAAAACTCAACAGTGTAAAAAAAAAAAAATTCTGTCTTAAACTATTCCAGCTCTTTTAAATAATATTGTGTGTGACTATTGTGTGTAGTTCTCGATGAGACAAAATCAGCAAAACTATCCAAGCATTAATAGTGTATGTCATTTTCTCTTCAGCTCTCATGGTGGTGCCTTTTTAGCCATTTTGTATTGATCTGACCCACTGTGTAAGCCATAGTATCTGTCAATACACTGTAAAGTGGACTTCTAATTCAAAATCCATTGGCAGTGGCTTTTTTAAGCAGGCTTTTGAATATTTTTATCATAAAGCAGATCACCATAAGGTAAAGGAATCAAATCGTCAATATTTAGAAAGCAACAGAGGGCTGAGTTCTACTGTTATAGAGAGAAAGTAAGACTCAGATAAGCAAATTATACAAAACATTATCAAATCATTGTGGAAAGTTAAATCATGCAAATCCCTAATCTTTCTTTTGATTCTGTTTTGTTTGTAGTGAACTCAGATTTAGGTGAAACCCTAATGGTATATATGCTCTGTAGCACAAAACTCATAATGCTGCACAGATCCATACAGCTAATATTAAAGTTTAAAGCCGGTTAAATGCATGAAATATAGTGCAGGGTAATGAAGGAACAAAATCACCCATAGGACAAGAATTAACTGAATTCATGTGATAATAGGATTTTTGTAAATGGATCCCTTCAGCTTTAATTTTAACCATTTTCCATGTGCTTTTCTGGGGCACTGGTCTGGATGCAGTATCAACAGTGGTCTGTTGATCCCCACATGAAAAGAAAAGTAATATTTTTTAATGAGTCTCCCTTGCGTGACATTAGATGAAGCTCTGAATCCTTGGCTTGGGGGCTTCACCCACTTTGCAGCAGAAAACAAAGTTAAAGAATTTATGATTGAGAAAGATTAAGTAATTTGGGGGAGTCATAATTATTCATTACATGTAAATCTTTGGAATTGCATTAGGCCTGTTTTAATGATCATTATGCTGTCCAGCTGAGAAAGAAAAGATAGAATAATATAACAGAAATTCCAGCCAAAGGTTTTCTGTTCAAAATATTTTTTCAGTGTAAAATGCTTTTAACAATTTGTTTACATTTTAAATTTATTTTCATTAAGGAAAACATTTAGATCGTATAGTATAGATATGTTTTTGAAAAATCACCAACTGAAGTAACTATATTGATTGTCTTTAAAGTTCTTAAACATTACCGGTATTCACTGTATTTTTATTAAGTTCAAAAGCAGAGTTTGAGTTTTAAGGATATTCTACAATATTTCCTGAAAGATTTTTTCCCCCCAAATATACTTTTGAGGGGTTTCTCAATACATAGTGTTGATCTTTTTAAAGTTGACCAAATTAATGCTATTCAGTTTATTTTTCTAAGTGCAATGTATTTAATCAGTCTGATCTATTTGTATTGAGGTTATACCTATACATAAAAAAAGAGGTTGTTTCTCCAATTTTTAACAGATTACATAGATTTTATTTAATCTTTTTAATCCCATGATTAGTTTGATATCACATCTTTTATCTCATGCAATTGTATTCTAATTTTTTTGTTACATGTATCTACGTTTTAACTTTACTAACGCAGAGAAATGCTACTACTGGATTCTGAAATACATGTTCATATTTTGGTGCTACCACAAGGCTTTTAGCAGTGGACAAAAAATGCTGATTTTATCATAAAATAATTTATTACAAGCTTTATAAGGAGCAGAGGGGGGTCAGTTAAATCTTTTCTGGATCAATGAAGGTTCTATGAGGCGAGGGAGGTAGATCAGCAGTGATAGATCAACGCCCTTGGTCCCATTTGATTGAGTGGGCCTGACCGTGGCTCTGAATTTGATTGATAATGCTTCATGGGTTCCATAGTTCAGGAATAAAACAGTGAAGATTTGCCTTTTTTCATTTGTTTTTGTTTTTGTGTGAATTGTTTTCTCCTCCTGACTAAACAGTGAAGATTTGCCTTTTTTCATTTGTTTTTGTTTTTGTGTGAATTGTTTTCTCCTCCTGACTCGTCTTTTTTCTTTTAATCTCACTTTGTTTTTCTCACCCTACAGCCTGAAGAACTGACGGATGTGTTGGAGATTAGTAACATTGTTTTCACCAGCATGTTTGTGCTGGAGATGGGCTTCATGCTTCTGGCTTTCGGTTTGTTTGGATACATTAGAAACCCTTACAACATCTTTGACAGCATTATTGTCATCATAAGGTAAGGTTATTCCATAATTTTTTTCAAATAACAGTAAAAAAAAATAATTCCAGCTGTAAAAATACTAGCCTGTTCAATTTAGAGATGGGATTGTTTTATGTTTATGTTTCTTAGTGTGTGGGAGATAATTGGTCAAGCGGATGGAGGTTTGTCAGTCCTGCGGACTTTTCGCCTGTTGCGAGTGCTGAAGCTCGTACGCTTTCTACCTGCCCTGAGGAGGCAGCTGGTGGTGTTGATGAAGACCATGGACAATGTGGCCACCTTCTGCATGCTGCTGATGCTTTTCATCTTCACTTTCAGGTGCAAAAATGAAAAATCCGCTGCACCTCCTACTTGCTTGTCTATAAAATGTCATTGCTTTCATCCTGTAAACATATTGAGACTTAGAGAATTGTGTTCTTACCCGTGGTAATGAAAAAAAAGGACATTTTTAAACAAAATGTACTGGACACATTTAAAACAAGAGTTTCCTGCAAGATATTGGAATTTTCTTAGTTAACAAAGAATTTGATCCTAGTGTCACAAATATTTCATATAACACCACATTAGATCTTAGTCTCTCCCTCAAATACACATAAACGAAACCTTTAACCATCTATGGATTTTCTAGTTCACTGGTTCTCAAACTTAATATAGCATGTACCAAAAAAGTGAATATCATTCAATCAAGTAAGAAAACACAAAAAGTAAATCTCTTTAAAACTCTTTAAATAACACTTCATAATGTATATTTGTTAAATACCCATCAGTCAAGACAAGTTCCTGATTTCCTCATGGAGCAAGTAACCAGGAATTTAAGACAGATAAAATCCCAATAAATAAAGGAAATTACACAAAATAAACTAAGAAAATAAATATAAGAGAATGATCCACAATATGACAAAACACTTCCAACAAAACAAAACGTTCTAGAGACATGATGGTAGTTTTAGAAAATAATAAATATTCATAGCTCTCAATAGGTCAGCTGGTCTGTAGATTTTCTAGTTAGAAAATGCAAACAGCCATCCAATTTGGAACTAGTACTTTATTAAGCTTTGTTAGAGCAATTTTCAAAATCAAAGTTTTGGAGTTTAAATAAATAAGACTTAGTAGCAGCAGCTTTCAAATTTTTTTTTCTTTTATGTCATTTTACTCCTTTAAAATTTATATTTTTAAAATGTAGCTTACAGTTTATTAAGCAAACAGTTGTCTTTCCACCACTAAAGTTAAAAAAGCACCATTAGTAGCACTTATACCACAAATTAAGAACCATCGCTCTAGATTGTCCAAAATCTTTTCAGGATGGTGAGTTCAAATTTAGTGTGTTTTCCTTATTTCACATTTTTTGTGGTGAAGCAGAAAGGGTTTTAGGCCAGGCATACAGTATGTCCATAACAGCCATTTTGGATTAATAAAGTAATTGCTCATTGTAAACCCAAACAACACTCTCAAACACTGTTTACTCAAAACATAATTATAACTAAGTACATTAGAAAATTTTAATTGATCCTTACATTGAACTGTAAACAACTCCAAAGATTTAAACAAAAAACAACAGATATGCTTTCCTGCAGTTTTCTAACAGTGACAGGTTTGTAATATTGTATGTCCTAACTGCCCTCATCATCCTGCTTAATCTTTGCAGTGACAAATTGAGTATGGTCCAAATTCCACTTCATGACCAGTGGCTAACAGAAATAGGTCTCTGTGTCACATTTAAAATTCAAGGAATAAAAAAAAAGCATAGATTACTTTTTAGAAGGTTCTAGATAATTCTACCCACCTAAAAAGGTCATTGATACATACATATTTTTAAAAAGGATTTTAGGTGGACTATCAATTCTTTCACCAGTGAATTTGTTAAAAAGTTTAGAATATTATTAGTGTGTATTTATATATGTACTTATGTGTGTAATATTTTACTGTGAAAATACTTTGCAGCAATGACATTTTATGTAATCGCAGTTCTTTATTACTTTCTATAATTTTGCAAAAAAAGATTTAACTAGGGGTGCCGTCTGGCTGTTGTCTGTTCCTTTGCATTCAATAATTCATCAATGTATTTCTGGTTTCTGCAGCATTCTTGGCATGCATCTTTTTGGATGTAAATTTAGTCTAAGAATGGAGAACGGGGACACCATTCCTGATCGCAAAAACTTTGACTCTCTACTCTGGGCCATCGTCACTGTATTTCAGGTGAGTCCAACTTCTTATGTTTCAGTTTACTTCTTCATAAGCTTTTAAAGATAAAATTTGTAACATAGCACCTTCCATGAAATTTTGGCTTCAATATCGGTTGAAATCCACACCTACTATTCAGGATAACTATCATACTGATTTGCTACAAAACACTAGCTTAACAACTGTCTACCACTGTACATTTTATTTTGGATGAAGCTCATAGGTGTGTAAGCTTCCCTTTTTTTCTCTGTATGTGGGCATACACTGTATGAGTTTTTGCCTTTTTCAGGCCGATTCTCCAATTGTGCGAGAATTTTTTTTTGATCGGGCCGGGTTTCAGCCTTGTCATGCGTCCTGCGAAGTTAAGTATACAGCTGGTAACGAGGGGAGATTAGCCTCTCATGACCACCTCCCGATCAGGAATTGTAAGGTCAGGAGAAAATCAAACATGTTTGAAATTCAGTTGGCCCTCGTGAGGTGTTCGTGAAAAAATTCCAAGCCGATTTACCTGAACCTTGCACCCTGCACATGTGCAAACAAGGGAATTCTTCCTCTTCCAGATTGATGAGTCCATATCTTGGCACTGTGTCCAACGTGTGGTTTTTGGACGTACAGTGTAAGCAGTTACTGTAGATAGCATCAGAGCATCGGGCCGTACAGTTTAAGAACAGACATTGTGAGCTGGGAACTTTTAAAACCTGCGGTTTCGTCATACAGTTTGAGCTGTACCTAAGTACAACTAATGAAAATATTGTAAAGTGAATGTCCACCTTGTAACAAAGCAAAATTCTTAAATTTTGGTTTCCTCACAACACATGACCATTTGTAAAGATATTTCACCCTGAGTGTTCCTAGTAAATCTTTTTTATCCAGCATCTAGTGACAGTTTTTTCTTCCCGAAGATGGAACAGGAGTCGATTTATTCTGGATTAGGACATTTTTTAATTGCTTTAGCCAATATCTTTAGAAAATCTTTTTTCTTTTTCTTTTTTGTCATGAAATGAAATACGGTACCTATATCTAGACTTTCCCAGGATAAAAAACAAACAAAAAATCCCCTTCAAGTCATTGTATTTCCACCTTATTTACCTCTTGGTTTTACGTTGTTCATACCAAATCAAACCATGTCATTACACTTCTAAAGTGTCCTCATGTGTATGTTTATGTCACCCAAAGCCTACTCCTAAGTGCAAAAAGTGTATCTAATTGTATATAGCATCTTTGCCTCACCATGATTTCTATTTTTTGCTCCACCTCCCCATGGAGATATTGTTCAATTGCTCCACAGTTATTTTTTTTTTCCACACGGGATGCGTCAGCAGAAGAGTTGAACACACAATGCAGCGGACTTTCTTTGGTGCTGAGGAAGCATTTTATCTAGAGCCAACCGTCGTGTGAAAAAGTTCCACTCATTTCACACTTTGTATGCTTTTACTATAGTTATAAAGGAATGCAAGCAGAACAAACAGATCTGTGCAGAATTGCGTATCGTATTTCACAGAAACAGCACAGAGGGACTGCCTTTTGCCCAGAGTGGGAAATGAGTAGGCAGAGCCAGCCTACATGAATGCGTACCCTTGGACTCTTCCAACAGGCATATTTATCCAACTGCAGGCAGAGAAACACTGTTTGTTTTTGGGTTTTTTTTTTTTTTTTTTTTTTTACTTCCAGCTGCTTTCACATGTTGAAATAGATTTTTTTTAAATAAAATGTTGTGATAATTTAAATTGCTCATCACTGGGCTTTATAAATCATATAATTGATTTCTGGGCTGTATAATAAAATTAGATCATGCTGCTTTTCTTTCATCTCACTACTCCTTGCCTTTTAATTAAACATCTTCTAAACCTCCTTTTTCTTCTGTCCTTTCTTATTTCTACTTTCACCCATCTCTTCCTCTTTACTTTCTCTCCTTCTTCATGCCTCGATCTCTGTCTGTGTTTTTATCCACCATCCAGATCCTTACCCAGGAGGACTGGAACGTGGTGCTGTATAATGGCATGGCTTCTACCTCTCCATGGGCAGCTCTCTACTTCGTAGCTCTCATGACGTTTGGCAATTATGTGCTCTTCAATTTATTGGTTGCCATTTTGGTTGAAGGCTTCCAGGCTGAGGTGAGAACAACTGTGTTGCTTTTCGGAGTTTGGTGACAGTTGGAACTATTTCATTTTACATCACTTCATCACTTACATCACTTGTACTCAGGTACAATGCCTGTTCATAGAGTAGTAGGACAAATGCACTAACTTTACACACATTTACTAAACATGCATTGAAGAAATATGCAAGTGTGGAATAGTTTGGAGGGAAAGCCTAAGAAAATAAAAGTTCCCTATAAGCATTCTATATTTAGAAAATCTTCCCTTTTTCGGAATATCAACAAATGTCTAAATGTAAAAATATTTTTTTGATCGTTAAGGTACATTTATTGTAAGCATTTTTATGAGATAACTGAGTCCTAGAGGTGACTGGATGATTTTTGATTAAATTGAATAAGAGATGAAAAATAAACATCTCTTCTTCTGTGTCAAAAGGCTCTTTGGTTTTCTACTGTCAGGAGAAAATGTAAATAAAAAAAACATTTGCTTGCTTGTATGTACAAACATATGTGTCTTTTAGGGTGATGCCAATCGATCAGAGTCAGATGACGAAAAGAAATCTGACAACTTTGATGAAGATGAAAAAGTTGAACAGCTCAGAGATACAGGTAGATAAGACACCCAATTTATGATGCAATTTTTTGCATTGTTTTTCCTTGCTCATTTGAAAATTAATCATATATCTATTGTGAAATAAGTTAGCTTTTTTTCTTTTCTTTTTATCTACTCTCCAAAGAGCTCAAAATGTACTCTCTGATGCTGACAGCCAACGGTCATGTTGACCCTCGTGGCATTATGGCTCCTCCCATAATAATGCACACAGCAGCCACTCCCATGCCAACACCTAAGGGCTCCCTAGGTCCTGAGTCTGTCTTAGGAGAGGAACTGATGTACAGAGAAGGAGTAAATCAACATGGAGAAGCTGGACTGGGCGTGTCTGAAATAGGGAGTCATGCGGAGTCTCGGCGTGGAAGCTCAACATCAATGGACCCATCAACCTATGACCAGCGCTCTCCTGTAAGTTATTTCAACCTATTATAGTGCAAAATTCAAACAGAATCTTCAGTTTCATCTGATTTGATCTGCAAACCCCATTTATTTAAAGATATTCCATCAATAACTGCTATGAGTGGCTGGATATTTTCTGGCCCAAAATGTCCCTGATGGGTAGCGTGGAGAAAGTGAAAGGCATGAACCATGAATGAGTGAAAATTAACCAGGTCACCTACGTCAGCAAACTGGTCTCCAAAGCGTAGAATAGCCACTGAATCCCCATCGTTAAGTTTTTTATGCTGTTTTCAGTGCACACATGCTAGTTTTAAACTTTAGGAAAGAAGTCTTATGTAACTCTCAAATAACCTTGCTTTCTCATTCACTGTTTTTAAATTATAAATATTTCAAGGCACTCATAGTTATTTTTTTGTGCAGGCTGTATCTGTTTAGTGCAGTTTTGCAGTTAAACCAATTTTATGTTTTAAATTTTTTTTAAATGATTTGCTTTTTCATCTCCTTTTATTGTAAAAACTGTGCATGCATCATGGTGCTCATCTGGGCTTTTCACAAAGGTAGGGTAAATTGGAGGTCAACCTTTGCAATAAAAGATAAAATAAAGCCACTATATCTTCATTCAGTGAACTTTTAACTGTGACTTTTAACAGAATGCTGCTTTTTTTCTAAAACATTTGAAAATGTATAGTTATTATGGCAAACTTTTTCTAGTAACATGTGACATTGAACCTGATTTCTTTTTTAATTTCTTACTGGTTTTGCTATTTGTACCTTTAGTAACTGTTTTTTTTTTAAGAACAATGCCATTGCTATTAAATATCTCTTTTGAAAATGTGTTCTGGCAAAGGTAAAGCACGTCAGTAAAAACAACTGGTGATCAGAGCGCTAAATTCACCAACAACTACATGTATCTAGCAGTAATAGCACTTGTTTAATTATTACTCAAACAGTCCTTAATCCCACGTGTCAGAAGATGGATAATGGATGGATAATCCGTGAGCTAACAAAAAACAATGGGAAAAATAGAGACATGAACAAATGTCTAAAGTTGCCTGTAAAGTTTTATGGACTGCATGGAAATTTGGATTCTGTTTTTTGACATTCTATTTTAGAAAAGACTGGGAAACAGCAGCTAATGCATACATAATCTGAATCTTATACTGCCTTCCCTCTGCAGAATCTCTCAAGCCCTGGACGGCGCTCACCTCTTCCTCTCCGTGGTTCCATCAGCTCATGGGGAAGTCGCCGCTCCAGCTGGAACAGTCTGGGGAGAGCACCAAGCCTGAAGAGGCGAGACACCAGTGGAGAGAGGGAAAGTTTATTGTCCGGAGAAGGTGGAGAAGAGGAAGAGTGCCAAGATCAACAGGAGGAAGGTGTGGTAAAGAACAGATTGAGGCTGGAGACCCTGGAGCCGCTGCAAGCATCTTCTCTTTGCCCTGCCATAATGGCAGAGTATGGCGACTGCAATGGGAGAACTGTGACATATGATCCGAACGGAAACTCAGACCCTAAAGATGACTATACGTCCGAGGATGACTTGGATGATGATGTAAGTTATCAAGCCTACCAGCTTACAAAATAACATTTAGGAGCTAAGCAGTAACGTTTGTGCAGTTTTCAAAGGTCTCCATTATACCAGCCTTATGTTTGCTTGATTGCAATTAAATACCAATTCCAAACTTATTTGTTTTTAACCAAAAGGAGGGTTGATATTGTCTTTCAAACTGGAAAACAGCAGTAATCAGACCTATGAACTGAAATAATGGCATTATAAGCAGACTTAACAGTATAAACAAATAATACCATCTGCCAAGCATGGTGGTGGAGAAATAATAACTTCTTGTCAACCGTCTTTGAGTTCATCAGATTGCCCCTCCATGTACAAAAGAAGTGAATATGAATCCTCTGGTGTGAGAGTGAAAACTTGTTTATAGTTTGGTCATTTTTACATAATCGCACAATGACTCAAAGCATGTTGTGCGTTGATAAATATACAACAAGGTGGAAAAATCCATTGGTAAAGCAATAGTTATTTGTGTTTAAACTGGCTTTATAAAAGAAGGCACTGCAGAGTACATACAGTAACAAACCTCTGGAAGAAAGGGTGAGGTAACATTTCATTTTTTTAGGTATAGAAGCAAAATATGGTGAGTTGAAGAAAACACCATGAGCAAACTTATTACGATGATAAACATAGTAATAGTAGCATTATATTTTAGGAATGCTTTTCTTAAGCTCAGATGGAAAACCTGGTCAGAGTTTTGGGAAGATGGAAGGAGTTATTTAAAAGGAAGTCCTGGAACACAGCAATTAGAGGTTGCAAAAAGCATGAGTCTAGGTTAAAGGTTTCTATTCTAACAGGAATAGTGACAACAAACACATAGTCAGGGCTTTGATTTTTCATCAAACATAATCACTTTTTAAAAAGTCTAGTAAATGTTCAATCTTTTCATTGTTATTTCCAGTTTGTCATTTAAAAATATTCAAAATACATTAAGGTTTGTTGTTGTAATAATATGGAAAAAAGATCTGAACATTTTAAGTCTCTTTCAAAGCCACTATACAACATATAGAACTTCACAAGAACTGGTGTATTGGGCTGAATTTGTGACCCCAAAAAACATCTAAAGAATCCCTGTAGCAAAAAGGAGCTAATTGACATTTGCACACTCTAGAAGATTTTTAATCATAGTTAATTACCCTTTTACATAAATCCATCAATCCATCATCTCCGGCTTAGTCCTTGTCAGGGTCGCAGTGGGCCGGTGTCTCTGGCAGTCTATGGGTGAAAGGTGGGGTACACCCTGGACAGGTCCCGAGCCTGTCGCAGGACAACACAGACACACAAAAACACACAACCATGCAAACACACTCACACCTAAGGGCAATTTAAAGAAGCCAAGTTTTTGAACTTTTGGAGGAAGCTGCAGTACCCGGAGAGAGCCCACAAATGCACAGGGAGAACATGCAAACTCCATGCAGAAATACCCCAGGTCTATAATTGAACCCAGTGCTACCCACTGTACCACTGTGCAGCCAACCTTTACCATGAAAATGCATTTAAATCATTTTCTAATTAGTGCTGTATCAGTAATTCATACACTGCGTTTTTTTTTTATTATCATAGGATGTAATTTTTATCTGTAGAGGATCAGATTAACTTTGTTCTTGACCACATTCACACCTTTTCAGGGTTTTTTTTCTGGCAGCTGTTTTATTGATCTCTTTGAATTGCTTTGCACTTTACGTGTGTTTGTGTGTTCATAATGTAATTGCTGTAGGGAGGCTTATTGTCATGTTTTAATTGATTGATTTGGGAGATAATTGTTTCGTCACGGGTCGAAAGCAGTTAAACTCATTCATTGTTGTGTGCATGAATTCGTGCGTGTTGAAAATGTTTAGCTCTGTTTACTCCCATGTTGGTTTTATTTGACCCGTGCTCTGACATTGCTCAGGATTTTATTGCCTCCAAATTGAGTTCATAATACCATGAAATCCACACTGAATGCAGCTTATCACCGCCAGTATATGATGTATGGGTCTGGATGTATGGAGACTGTGTTATTCTGTGCATAAGGTTTGCTAAAATCCATGTGAGCAGGATGCGCTTTAAAAGACTTCACATCTCAGTTCCAAGAATATCCAAGTAGCAGGTCTTGCTTATCTACACACTCAGACTTTAGCACACAAACACAGCTACCTCCTTAAACAGAGAACACACTTAGATATACAATACACATGCTCACATAAGGGCCTGTGTGGCCACAAAGCATAGTCTGCTTGCCTCTGGGCGATTTTTTATTTAAAATCAGAAAGTACAAAAGCTGTGGACCAAAGCTTTCTTGTTTATTTTAATGCAAGCTTTAATGAGTCTGATTCTGAGTTTTTGAACTTCCTGAGTAGAAACTCCTCCTGTTATGGTCCAATTATCTACACCTTATAATGAAAAGGAACATGTTTATTATGCACCATAGATGTAAATATGGACTAACTACCTTCAGCAGAACTTTAAAACAAAATAATTTTATGATTACTTTTATGCTGCAATCTTTGTTAGGGCATCTCCACTCTACTCATTATATCACATGTCCCTTAATTTTCAAACACATTGAAAAACGTCTTTATTCACAGCATTTTTAAATAATTGTGTGTATAGTTAATTTATTACTTGCCGCCATAAGAAATGTTATCATACATCTACTTTTAACAAGGTTTTTTTTGTTTTTTGTATTATATATTTTATATATGTCTAATACCTTTTTGTAGGACTGATTCTGCCCCCAAATACACAGTTTAAAAACTAGGGTAGTTCCTGCTAAACTGACTACATGGATGAATTCTGTAAGTTTACTGTCTTACTAAAAGAAATCTTTAAACATTTGTTTGACAAATTAAAGGTACTGTTGCCACTGGTAGAGCAAAGTGCTGCAGTATATCATGCTGTAGAAACCACTTTCTTTAATCGAGAAGAAGTGTTCTCAGAACATTGCAAAAGGAGAAAAAAGAAACATACTTGATTATTGACAGAATTTATTCAAATTAAGTTAAGCTAAACTATTACTAACGAACATTCAATACAGATAATAATTTTTCCAGCAGCATCTGACGACAGTCATTCTTTAGGAGTACAAACAGTAGCGTGGGCCGAGCAAAAGACTTTCACACTATTAATCCTCAAGTGACACCATGCAAGGCTGGTTCCTCCATGTATCAATATGTACAACAGAAAACAGAACATTAGAACCTGCCTCTAACTGGTTTTATCAAAATCTCTAAAAGCTGCAGCAGTTGCACATAACCCGACCACAAAGTTTTCAAATAAGGCAGAAACAGAAATTCAGCAGGTTGTCTTACATCTAACATAGATCATATCTCTGCACACACATCCAAGCTGACATCACTAATATTGGTCTCTACCCTCACTTCTTTGCCCCCAAGGTGCAGGGGGATAAAGATAGATATTTCTACCCCCCTGCTCCTTAATAAGGCTCGGTCATTTGAAAAGTACTGGGTCTCTGGTGGAACCACAGCCCCGGGAAAGTAACAGCACAGAAGAATAAAATAACCCAGGTACAGTACTGTAAACATGTATCAAATTGCTACCTGGGCTTTAAAAAGCCTGGGCTTCTAGTAGTAATGGAAAAGAGGCTTCTGAAGTGAACTGTGTAAATGTCTCATTTGAGAAAGGCATGCATTCACCTTAATTTACATTACAGGTACAGTTTCATACAATATGATTATGTATATGAAATGTGTTTGAGGTTTTAGAACCTCAAAACAACTTTGCTTAACAAGACAATTTTGTATATAATCAGTTTTTTCGATGATTTAATGTAACTTAAAGGTATATATAAAGATCTCACAAATTATAAAAAAGACCCACACATTTGACATCTAAAAAAAATCTCCACCACTCCTGAGAGGGAACGCCTATTAAACATGTGCAGAGCATTCACAACCCCATCTCTCCTCGTGCATGTTCTGTTTAAAAGTTGCTGTTTGCATTGCTCATACAAGCTTACTTTCCAAAAGAAGATTTGCAATTTATCCACTATGTCAGATTCACCACCGGTAAATGAAAATGGGGACGAGCACGTAGGACGGCCTTACATAAACATATCACCAGGATGATTCACAGTTAGGATGACCACTTATTTTGATGATCCACCCGGAAAAAGAACATCCTCCAGTATACCTTTAAGGGAGAATTTCTAAAACATGACTAGATATAACGTTCTAGCTACATAAAACAAAGTGCCTATTTTTAATTCAAATTGCATTGAGAAAAAAAATTAAGCAGTCACCCAATACACTCAAATGTAAATGAATCAAACCTTTGTTTGAGCTCTGTTCAAGCTGCTTAAGGGATTTGTTTGATAAGCAGTTTGTTTACATGTTATCTGAATTTGGTAGATTTTCACCGATGGTAATAAACCATATAAAAGTGGCTGTAGCAAAGATTTAATGACATTAAATCATGATCTTAACAGCATTTTAATAGGGATTGTGATCAAGGTTTATAGAATGCAATAGTGAATAACAGAGAATATGCTTGTTGCTGCTGACACTTACATAGATGTTCATCCTCTCATTGCTCTAGAGTCCTTTCTGCTACTGGATCAGGAGGGAGCTCCATAACATGAAACCCCGGTGGTGTAAGGAACACGAAAACTGGACACTATATTTGTTCTCACCAGAGAGCCCGTAAGACCTACAACCTCACACAACTACACAATCTAAGCTATTTACAGGTGTTAAAGATTAAACTAAACTGCTAAATTATTTGAGTTATTTGCAAGTGTGATATTCTGATGAAAAGCTGACTGCATCATAGAAATAAAAAAAATAGTAAGTCAATTCAGTGGGTCTTTGTTGAAACACTATGGTTAACCATAAATGTAAAATAGATAGATAGATAGATAGATAGGTAGATAGATAGATAGATAGATAGATAGATAGATAGATAGATAGATAGATAGATAGATAGATAGATAGATAGATAGATAGATAGATAGATAGATGTCATTTATTAAAAGGAATGGAGGAAACTTTTTCCAAAGGAATTCACAAAGCAGTCACTTTTGTAAACATTTTAAGCTGACTATATTAGGGAATTATTACATTCGTGATTAGCAGAAGTACTGTGGGATTACATAAACAACATTGGATTTACATTTTCAGCTTCCTAGTTGTTTGCTCAGATTTCAACCCTCTGATAGAATTGAAAAGGGCAGACCTGTGTCAACATACAGAATAAAATATACAATTTCCTTTTATTCTCAAAAAAATTCCTTATCTCTTTAATAATGTTGAAACTGGCTAACATCAAAGCCATACCAAAGATGGTTGGTATGGTTGATAAGCCAAAACAACATTGACAATGTGGTAGGATAATGCAAATGCATGCAATACAAGGCATTCAATGTTGGAAAAAAAAAACATCAGATTTTTCTGTTACTTCTTAAATATAAAGATGATATTGCCTGAATCTAGTCACCTTCCAATTTTATGTGAATTTAGCCTTTTAACACAAATAAAGGAATTTAATATATTCAGATTGTTATTAATGTTGTTGACCTTTATTTTTTTTTACAAATTTGTTTCTAGTTTAGGTGTAAATTCTTGTTTTATTTCGTACAAATGTTTGGTTTATATGTCAGAACCACAGAAGGTATTTTTATATGACTCTGTGTCTGTTTAGAGTCCGTATGTGGTGCCAAGCGGTGATCACTCACAAATTGTTCGACCATGTGGTTCTGGTTTTCATCTTTCTCAACTGCATCACTATCGCTCTGGAGAGGCCTGATATACAGATTCATAGCACGGTGAGCCAAAGACAAGCATGGCTTACATAATTGCTTTTATACACACAGTCCACTCTTCTTATTTTAGACAGTGTATTTCATACAGTCAGCCTTCTCTTAGGCTATGTTCCCACTGCAGGCAAATGCAGCCCAAATAGGACCCTTTTTGCCCATATGTAGCTCTTATTTGACTTTTTAATGGCAGTCAGAACGGCCAAATTCCGATCTTTTCACCTCCCAAAATATCCAGAATTTTGTCACTTCCATATGAGGTACAGATTCAGATATGTTTTCAATAGTTTTCAAAGCGTTTGCAGTTTGCATTTCATCTGACGTTTATGTCATCCAAGCTCTTACTATTCATTCATACAGACTCCTTTCCAGCACAGCTGTCACTGCTGCACAAAAACACAATAGTCAGTTTCTTTTTTTTTTCTTTTTTTTTTCTTTTTGTTCCCATTATTCAACAACTTATGATAACACAGAGATGCTGACATTTACTATTACTTCTATAAACAGTGTGCTGCTGTATGATGTCTAAGCTGTCCCTCTGCGCATGCAGGTCAGGTTGGGGCTGTGAAACATTCAGACTAGAGTCTGATAACGGCAGTGTTTAAATGGTCCTCTGAACGACCATGCTGAAAAAAAGGGGATTTCAACAAGAAAATAGAAATTGAGCCTCAAAACCTGCAGTGTGAATGTAGTTTTACATTTGAGGTGTCTAAATTTGTGAATTACTGATGAAATAAACAAAAAAAGTTTATGTTTTGATTTTAAATTTGGTTTTTATATACACCCTAAAAATATGTTTAGCCATAAAAGGAGTTTCTTGTGTGATGCTATTTTTTTTTTAACTATGTTTACATAGTGATGTTTACAAAGCATATATCCTGTTTATATAGCTAAAGGTGTCATATATTTTATTGATATCAAAAAAGCTAATTACATCCCATGAAAAAATAGTTTGTAGTTTTTAAACCTGTGACAGTGATTGCTTATCTTAATAAAGCCCTAAACTTGCAAATAAGTTTTTTTTACGTAAAAAGAAATGAAAATGATTAAGCTTTCTAGAGCAGAAAGTCTCTGCTTCCTAAAAGTCTTTTTTCGGTTAATGTATACGTGGATTGAATATTTCTTTTTTCCATTTAGGAGCGAGTGTTTCTAAGTGTGTCCAACTATATTTTCACTGTGATCTTCCTGGCAGAGATGGCAGTCAAGGTAAACATTAGCAGCCCTACTTTCATGTGTTAATAAAACCTTACAGCGGTGCAAAAATCTAAAGGTAAAGTTGAAACCTGTAATTGCGTACCCCTTAAAATCTTTGTGCAGGTTGTAGCTCTTGGTTTCTGTTTCGGGGATCAGAGCTACCTTAAGTCAAGTTGGAACATTTTGGATGGAGTTTTGGTTTTTGTGTCCATGGTGGACATCCTGGTCTCTCTGGCCTACACTGGTACCAACAGGATCCTGGGGATTCTCAGAGTCCTTCGTCTTCTACGCACCCTTCGCCCTCTAAGGTACAGTGAAATTACTTGCTTGTACTGTGGGAAATACATTCAGGATTCTGTAATAATTTCATTCTTTGAGGTGAACAAATATACATAAATAATTTCCTAACCTTTTTTAAATTCCATATTAAAATGACCCTGTGCAGTTCAACTACTGATCAAGCAAAGCTGTTTGAGGGAAAATGCAGAAAGATCAAATAAGCTGTAATGCACTGAGGGTATTATAGTCTTCACTAATGAACTAATAATCAAATTAACCTCTATTTAATTCATTTTCAACACTTAGTCTCAAGTTCACAACTGCAACTTCATCTGTCCTGAAGGGATATTGCTCATAGTTGCTCATTTACATTCTTTAGTCACAGTCTACACTGAGAGAGTTAGGTAGGAGAAGGGTACAAAGAAATACAGAACACTGAATGAATACCATGATACAGGAAGTAAAGACATTAATGGTACAATACAAAAAACTTTAGAGTTTTCTTTGAAAGTGATAAAAAAAAAAAGTCCTGCATCATCATTTAGCCTCAAATGTGATTGGATTTAATTAAACAAAAATCTAATTTTTAGTTTTAATTCTAATGGGCATGTTTGGCTCAGCAAAACAGCACTGCATTTCTTGACAATGCATCATGCATCGGGGTTACCCTGACTTGTGTTGTCTCATGAAGTTTTGATACTGGTGGCTTTTCCAAAAAGATAGATAGCTATTTCATTCAGCCTCAATATGAGTCAACTAAAGACTTCTTTGAATGAAAAATTTAAGATTAAGACAGAACCAAACTTGATTTAACATGATTTGAGAAGGTTAACAAGGCAGAATGTGGAAATATTGCCATATCTGTAATGACATCAACTCCTAAAGCAAGAATGTCCACAGAAACCAAATGAAAAAACAAAGCCTTTTTTAATGGACATTCATTGTCTGTTTCCATTATTATAATTCATTGATATGAACTGCTACTACTCTGTTCAACTTGTTTCTGCCTAAGTGTATGACTGTGCATTCCAGGGTTATCAGCCGTGCCCCAGGACTGAAGCTGGTTGTGGAGACACTCATCACATCTCTTAGACCTATTGGGAACATTGTGTTGATCTGCTGCGCCTTCTTCATTGTGTTTGGAATCTTGGGGGTCCAGGTAATTTAAAATGAACCAGCTGCAAAACCTACACGAATTATGCCTACTTATTACTCCTCTATCCTAAGCTGTTTTACTCATTTTTGCTTAATTTCAATGCTAAGCAGAGCAAATGGGAACATAGCTTTAGGTAATTGTAAAGTATCTGAAATCTTTGAATCTTCATCAAGGATGCCAGTTTGAAATTTAAACAGCAAGATTATATGTTAAAAAAAAACATTATGTTAAAAAAAGCATTATGATCCTAAGTCCTTATATATTACTTTAGCACCACTTATCAGCTGAACCATGACGTCTTGTGAAAAGTGCTGTTATTGTTGACATTATTGGCTAAATCCACCTCAGATCATTGATACATGATGATTATATTTTCTTTAAGATGTTTGACTTTTCAAGTTTTTGCCTATTTCTTTTTAGCTGTTCAAAGGAAAGTTTTACCACTGTGAGGGTCTGGACACCAGGAACATCACAAACAAGTCAGACTGTCTACAGGCCAACTACAAGTGGATCCGAAGGAAGTACAATTTTGACAACTTGATTCAGGTGTGAATGAATGAAATGAGTAATATAGCATGAAACATATACTGTATAATTAATCTTAAAAATCAGCACAGGTATTTTTCTTTTTTTTTGTTTTGTTTTACTGTAAACTTTTTCTCATAGAATTTTACTTTTATTAATGTAGGAATGCTGGACAATAATGTTTCTTTCACTGCGACAGTATAAAGCTTTTAATGACTTTTTTCATAATATGCATATTTCAGTCACACTAAAACATGAGCCTTGCTCGATTTATTTTTGCACTTTCAAAGAAAAGTCATTTTAAGCAGAGAATGTCTGATAAATTTTAACAGTTTTTTTGTTTTGTCTCCAGGCTTTGATGTCTTTGTTTGTACTGTCATGTAAAGATGGCTGGGTCAACATTATGTACGATGGACTGGATGCAGTTGGGGTCGATCAGCAGGTAGGCCTTTACATTTTATCTGCAGTACACTGCTAAATGCAGAGGCTCTTTTAACATATGTGCCCTGCTTCCACTGCACTTCCCTCTAAGTCATTTTTCATATTCTCAAACTTTAAAACTTGTATAGACTGACAACTTAACCACATTTATTAATCAAATCATTGTATTATGTATATCTTGTTGTAAATATCTTTTCATATAAAATTTTTTTAATTTGAAAGTTAATGTCCTTTTTCTTCCCTCTCTTTAGCCTGTGAGGAACCACAACCCCTGGATGCTGCTCTACTTCATCTCCTTCCTGCTGATTGTCAGTTTCTTCGTTCTCAACATGTTTGTTGGAGTGGTTGTGGAAAACTTCCACAAGTGCCGGCAGGACCAGGAGGAGGAGGAGGCCCGTTTACGAGAGGAGAAGAGGCTCAAAATGATAGATAAAAAGCGCAGGAGTAAGGAGAATGGAGGGGCTGGTCGGTAGTCTATTTTTCTGAGCACTGCCTGCTTTCAGAGCTTGAAAGAAAAAAAAAAAAAAAACATTTAAAAGAAATCCTAAAAAAAAAAGGGTTATGAAAAGAAAATGACAACTGGAATGGGGAACAGATTATAAGACTGGCTGGCTCACACATGATATAATTTATCAATGTTTTAGGGTGTCGGCTATGCCAATCTAATGCATGTAACAGCATGACTGCAGCCCAACCCTGAACCTTCCTTTACCCTGCATGGAATAAAGAACCAAAATTTCAATTCTAAATTTTAAATCAAATTCAACATGTGTATCACTTTCGTCTAATTTAAATCAGAGGAACATTTTGCATGTGCAGTAATCAGTTTCTTGGTACACCCCTGAAAATTTTTATCTGGTAAAAATTTTCCTCCTTGAATTGCCTTTATCCCTCCATTTCCTTCCAATGCATGTGTACAACCCTGAGATACCTCTTGACTCTGGTAGAAAAAAAGATATTTACTCCAAACATGCTTTGACTGGCAGACTCAGAAACATAGCAGACGCTTTGGCTGCTAACTATTAATCACTTCGGTAATATCTTAAGCAATGGAGCTGTTTAAACATTTAAGTTTCAGCTTTAATAAAAGTACAGATCAAAGTACAATAGCAACATAGATCTATACCAAAATTGTAGAATAGCTGAGCTGTTTGCACATAGTAATGCTTCCTAATAGTATTGTGACAGACAAAAATATATATAATTGCAAAGCAGAAGAAAAAAGAGATAAGGAGTACCTTGTATTTGCCTTCAGCCCGGTTCATCAATTATTTGACAAACTGGAACTCTTGCACATTCTATGTATTTCAGCTGAGTAAGGTAATATATAACAGCTTTCATGACAAAATTCCAGCTTCATTTAAGTGTGAATTTTAAATGGGCCGTATAATCTGATAAATCTACAGTGCATGTTCTAAACTTTAAACTGAACTTACGGGTGTATGTTTAGGGTTTTTGTGCTGTTAGAAAAATGAACTACTGCCCTTCAGAAGTTTCTAACAGATCTCTAGCAATTTCTCTTCCAGGATTATTCAGTATTTAGCATAATTTCAAGACAGGTTTAATATTTTACTGATTTTAATTGGTGGTTGTTTGTTTGTCTAGAATACACATGGTTTCACAATTCAGAGATGGAACTTGTCTTATGATCATTTATTTTTTGTCAAAATCTGTATTTTGAATTAGGTCTATGGAGGGACAATGGTAGAAACTACATACAAATAAGACATTTGGGTATTAAAAAAAAAGAGAAGATCTCCCTTTTTTGTTCCACTTTCCAATAATGCCCAGTGCGTGTTTTGGTTTGTCATATAAAACCCCAATAAATTAGGTTTTAACATTAAAAAATGTTGGGGGGAAACCCTGTGTCTACTTTTTAAGGCACTTTATCTAATCTTAGAGGAACATATGAAAGAAGATTGTGATGTGAATGGCAGAAGCCTTATCTTCTTTTAGTTTTGCCTAATCTTGCTTTGGAAAATCAAATATTTTAAAGAAATAGATCTATCCAGTGGGATGGAGGGGTCACTGTGATAAATAACTGCTTTTTACAAGATCAGTTCGCTCTCTGGACTGTCCTGAGTCCTAGATCCTTTCTTAAGGTCTGTTTGGTTTTTGTAGCCCCATATGTCTCCCATATGAGAGAGGACCAGGGTAGGTTGTTGGTTTTTGCCCTGTATCCATTTCTAGATTAATCTGACCTTGTGTTTCTTATCATTGTCTTCTAAAATACTAAATAACAATTTATGCCCAGTTTCCCAAAAGAAGAAAACAGTTTTATTTCAAATGCCGTGGCTTTTGAAAGATTTCATAAGGATATGCTCTCTAGGAAGGTTTCCATGGCAATTGGAAAAAAGAAAAAAGCCCTTGGCACACATACTTTTGAAATACAGGCATCATTGGATTTTTACATATTATCCTTTGTTTTTCACCCCACCGAGAACTGTTGCGTTTTTTTTACTGAAAGGCTCAATCTTAGTCCCACCTGACTAAGGAATGCATTTCCAGTTCCATCAAATTGAACAAATTTTCAAATTTGACAGTTATTTTCTTGGCATGCGTTTTAAAACATATAGTAAGCATGTAGAGTGAATAGAATAGAATAGAATAGAAAAGAATAGAATAGAACAAAAATTATGACGACTCTAACAGTAAGTGTTTAAAAATATTTTTACCATCCTATCATTGGATTGACTCTACAATGAAATGAAATCTTATGGTCAACATTTCACCTGGTGGCCAATGGAAAATATCAACCTTTCTGTCTATCAAATTTAAACTTAATAGATTGATACTTTTTAGAGGAATTATTATGAATGCCAATAATTGTAATATCTGGTATTCTGTGACATAATTTTCCCTCAGAAGAGTGTGCTCAATTTAAGGTTGAATTTTAATAAATGTTAAAATAGGAGATTGTAATTCATATCTCAGCAAAACATGAATTTATGTCAGAGATTTTAAAGCTTTATAAGGAATAAACAATCCACTGCTTTTTCTATTTATAGAGCATTTGTTTACTTAAACATTTTGTGTAAAAAAAGAACCTTCTTCAAAATATAAACATTCTTTGAAACCCTTTAACCAATAATCACACTTTAGTGTATTAGTTTAAATACATCTATAGCATATCAGCTATCATTTAAAGCTGTAATGTGCCACTTGAAAAAACAACATATTACTTTGTGAATAAAAGACGAGTCAACCTGTTACTTTCATGTCCTTTCATATTAGAAAACAGTCATGTGCACAGGTTTTTAGGTTTTGTGAAACTCCAAGAAGCATTAGGATTTTGGATTCAATTTAAGGCACAAAATACATTTTTATTGAAAATCGATTTAAAAATCATATTTTTACATCCTGAATAAAGTTATTGCCTCCCTGTGCACACGTCTGAACATGTGTCATTAAAGAGAACTGTTTTCTCTCATTTGCCTCTCTCACTGCTTCTGTCCTGTTTGTTTGTGTATTTCAGAGGCTAAACAGAGACCTTACTATGCCGACTACTCACCTTTGCGGCTGACCATCCACACTCTTTGCACAAGCCACTACCTGGACCTCTTCATCACCTTTATCATTTGCATTAATGTCTTCACAATGAGCATTGAGCATTACAATCAGCCACAGGTAATGTTTGCACCTGCACACAAATTAGCTTTTAATACATCTACACCATCTAACCTTTGTATTTCAAAAATGATGCCTCTTAAAAAATTTTTAAATGAATATCTGTTCAGTTCAGTCCTCTGCTAAACCTAAAAGCAGTGGAACTACAACCTACGGTACTGTGTTCTTTAACATAGTGGGCATTTCAGTTAAGCATAGTTAATATTTCAATATCCAGGCAAAACTAGGTTTCTTTAAAACTTATTGATATGTTTTAAAGAGTTGGGTAGAGTACCGAAAAATGGTACTTAATCAGAGTAGCACTACTTCATCATACTATTTTTACATACCGGTAAGTAAAATTAGCAAGTATCATTTAAAAAAAAATGCTCAAGTAAAAGTAAAAAAGTATTTGGTAAAAAGGGTATTCAAGTACTGAGTAACTGATCTATTTGCTACTCATGATAACAAAAGATTTGATATTTTTTAAATTATAAAACTTACAAAATCTCCAGTTACAGTACTATATGTAAGAATAGGTTAAGTTGCAGAATACTGTTTACTGTATTTCCTTCAAATAACATGGCAGACTCAGCAGATTGAATGAAAAAAAACATTTATTCAGTAAGCCTTAAGTACAAAAAGAAAGTGGTGCGATCAGACCAGAGGCAGTGGCTGCTGTGACTGCAGTGGATTCACATACAATTACTATACAAATCACACGGTAAAGTGGCCAGCGGTAAACTCCATGTGATGAAAGCGTTCACTGCTCCACTCTCACCTTGTGCTACTAGATAGAACTGCGATGTTGTCGAACAGCAGCACCGCATGGAGAGAGAGGAGCAGTGATCACTGAAGTTGAACAGAGCTGAACTTTTCTATGAAATTGTGACACGGCAACCGATCAGGGACTGTTTCTAGGTGAAGCTTTTTTCACTTAAAACCGAATACAGAGATAAATAATGGTAACAAAGGTAGAAAAAAGTAATGCTCTTAAGAGGTGTTTAGTTGGCTTTAAAAAAAAGACGTTTTAATATCCTAGAGGAACATTTAATCATTCTCACTTACCTCCAGCACAGAGCCAGTCTGTCGCTGCCCATGGTCCTGCCGAATCATCTAGACGAAGCTCTGGATAGACCAAAGTGGACTTTTTTTTCTGAACTGTTGGGTTTTTTCCAAAAATGTATGGTCCCCTAAGGCTATTCAAAAGTTTCTTATACTGAACAATTTAGCATTAGTCCATGATGCTTAGTTTTACCTGTGCTTTTTTTTGTGAAATGCCGACAGATAGCAAGATCCATCCATCCTTCCATCTTCTAACACGCTTAATCCCAAGTGGGGTCGTGAGGGGCACTGGTGCCTATCTCCAGTTGTCAATGGGCAGGACAGGTCGCCAGTCCATCGCAGGGCCAGATAGCGAGATCTTAACAGGAAATTATATGGGGTTACCATATAATTTCCTGTCAAAAACAACAGCAGCACATCTGATCTTTTGTTATTGTTTTTTTTTTTTTTTTACAAATGACAATTTAAAATGCACAAACCTGCACTAAAGAAGCGACGACCATTCATTCTATTTTCTGATTTTTTTTTCACGTCATTGGGATGTCAGCTTCATGCAGCTGAAGCTTCTCCTATTTGGTGATGCGATCCAGGGTGTAAACACAGTGCAACTGATATGCAGAGCTGTGAACTACCTGCGAGGCTCGTGGAAATCATTGCATTCACCGCCTCTGGTTTAAACGTACCATTAATGGTGCATATTTGTTTAGAACAAGCTTGCTTTCATTAAGTGAAGTCACTGACAATGGATGTAGTAGCCAGAAAATGTACTTAAGTAAGAGTAGTGCTATTTTATCATATTTAAGAATACTAGAGGAAACATGTAAAACACTTATTAAAATATACATGTTAAGAAAAGCTTAACTATTGTAATGGTAAAAACATGTTCTCAATTTTCAAAATTTAAATTCTAATTGAGAACACATAGTGTATATAATGTACCCTTAAATAGTTTAATATCCTTTTAAGTGATGCCTGTCTTTGGGGTTAACTGCATCTTTAAACCTAGTTACAACGTTTAAATTGTCTTGAAACTTGTTTTTGTAAACAAACTAATTTTTTTTTTTAAGATGTCAAATGAGTGCTTATGCGATAGTCAAAAAATGAAACGTATTTAATAAGTGGAACGACCATAATTGTCTGTTGGTATTTCTGCAGTATTTGGAGGAGGTTTTGAAGTACTGCAACTATGTTTTCACCATCATCTTCGTCATTGAGGCTTTGCTGAAACTTGTGGCCTTCGGCTTCCACAGGTTCTTCAAAGACAGGTAAGACAAACTGTATCAGTGTAAATATATATATATATATATATATATATATATATATATATATATATATATATATATGTATACACATTTTTCTGTTCCTTACATTTATTCCAGTGATACCATGATGGAACTATTTAATATCCGAATTGATGTCAATATTGCAGCTTTAAGTATTGACCAATACTGATACTGACCTCAAACAAGATCAGCAGAAAACATGCATTCTTGTATAACTCATCTTGTANATATATATATATATATATATATATATATATATATATATATATATATATATATATATATATGTGTGTGTGTATACACATTTTCCATTTTTCTGTGTTCTGATCCTTACATTTATTCTAGTGATATCATGATGGAACTTTTTAATATCCGAATTAATGTCAATATTGCAGCTTTAAGTATTGACCAATACTGATACTGACCTCAAACAAGATCAGCAGAAAACATGCATTCTTGTATAACTCATCTTGTAGTGTGGAAAGTTTAATATGGCTTGATAAGTGACAATTAATCAAACAGAGAATATTAGTTAACAACAATAGTTATGAGAACAACTGACCTTTACCAATATAGAATACAAAATCATTACATAAACTATGAACTAGATTTTTGTATTAGCCTGCTCATATAGCAGAGTTTAGATTTAGACTAATTCATCCCAATATTTTTCTCTTGGCTGAAAACAGATTCATTTTCAATATGAGATCAGAACATCACTAATTATTCCTCCATCCATCATGCGTTATACATTTTAAAACGTAATATCTTGATTGGAACTTGAATTTTATTCCACTTTCTTGGCCTCAGCTTTAGTAAAGTGCAGTCTCAACATGTTTGGTGAGGGTGTTCAACTTGTCTGAGGGCTAAATTTATGGCTTTCTCTTCCGAAGACATAAGTGGGTGGTCTACCCCTTAATTTAAATGCCTAGCTCACTGTTTACCATTAACGGTCTGGCAGAACTAATATTAGGTCTGTCTTCCATCCCCTGTTCTTCTTTTAGCTCTTTAAATATTGAAGGAAGTAGAGTTTATTACTTTGTTTATGCTTTCATGTCAGAGATTTCCAACCTGGGTCATTGTCACCCTAAGGAACGCATCAAGGATTAGAGGTGCATAGGGTTTTCTCTGCAGATGCTGCCAAAGTCAGTTTTAAACAACTGGTTTGTTGAAAAAAATGGATGAGTTTTGCACCATGGTGTTATGTAACTCTTTATTACTTTTATAGGGGCTAGTCATATACTATACCTGTGGAAATGACACATAATAAATCATCTTCAAATTAAACAATGTACACCAAGTATTCATCCTGATAGTGTTGAACTTTGCCTCTCTTTTCCCAGCTCTGTTGAGAGTTGGTGACTTTCTGGGCCCTATAGGTTCCTTGTTTACACTGTGCACATGCACAGTTTAGTACCATCAGTCACATGGTCTTTTTCATTGTAATTGCATAGAGTGTTCAAGCTTACTAACAAATAAAGCAAAGACAAAGTATAAAGCACAGAGTTAAAATATTAGAAGCCAACGGGGCACCATATTTTTTTTTAGAAAGCCTTTATTAGGAACCAGAGTAAGGTACTGCTATAGAAATTTTAAAAAACAATACAGCACAGAACTACTAAAAAAGTAACTACTTAAGTAAGCTTGATAATAGTAGTACCTGGGTTAGTTAATAGGCAAAGTAGCTAAGTAGTTTTGTGGTCTAAATTGTTAAAAAACTAAATCTGGAGATGACTTTCCTGTTATTGGAACCTGAAGTACAAGTAAGAGTTCAACTTTAAAATGTTTATATTGATTAATGAGTTCAATAATTAGCGAACTCAATGAATTTAATAAAAATAACTACAATATTTTCCGGACTATAGAGCGCACCTCACTGTATTATTATCGTGGAACATAAATGTCAAAATGTGTGAATTTGAGAATTATTGTTCTCTCTAATGCCTGGTGCTAGCATGTTCTTGTGCTAAATGAAAATGATCCCCCCTATTCTTTCATTTCCAACTTTGACTTCCCCCTCTGGTGGTTAGGAAAAATCCATAGAAATATATTATAAGCTGGATGGTTCAAAGCGTGCGAAAAAAGTAGCCACTTTTTGTCTGGAAAATATGGTACTTATCTTAAAACACTGATAGTGATCTACACCATTGTTATGTCTGTGTTTGGACAAGTAGAGACTAGACTGCTTAATATTTATGTATACAGTTAGATTATTTTGTTTTATATGTGTAAAAAAAGAACAATGAAGCAAACTAGATGCTTGTATATGTATGCAGATTAAAAGGTTTAGACTAGGTATAATGCTGAAAAATAATGCTTTTAAAGCCTTTCAACAAAAAATAAAACACAGTGATAAAATTAAACAGGAATCACGCAATCCTAGGGTAGAAAATAAACCCAGCAGGCCTGTACTTCTAGTATTTCTATGTGAACAATAACAGTATACCTTGCCAATATAAAATTAAGAGCAATGTTTTGGAAAAGCACTCGGTTGTAACTCAGCATTGTTGACTGGTGAGATGATGTGAGCTACTTAAGTTCTTTGGAGTAGCTTGGAACCGACTTGGATAAAGTATTTTTTCCCTGACATAATGATAAAACACAGAAACATTTAGAAAACCTTTCTGTCTTCCATAAGGTGCACCAACACCTAGAGTATGTATTTATAAATAACTCATTCTGGATTACTTTTTTTACACTTTTAAAATGTTTTAAAGGTTTTTATTATTTATTTAGACTTAGGAAGAATATCTATTTTTGAAAGAAACACTATCCTTTTAATAAAAAACTATCTTAGTCGCTCATATCATTATTATTTAACACCAGTAGTATTCCCAGCAAGTTATTTAGCATGCTTTACTGAAGTTTTAAGGATTTTTTTTTACTATAGAGTTGCTCTGAAATAAAGGAACTCTGCACATTACCTAACTCTTTAAGAGTAAGAATTTCTTTCTTCCTCCATTTACATTACTAAAATGACAAAATAATCATCAATGATACACAAATCTACATTTATATAAAAATGTTTTTTATGAACAGATCAAACAAAACCCTAGCAATGGTTTGCAAATGAAGGGAGAGGCAATACATGCACTTCACATTATCTCAAGGCTTATGTGCTAAAAGCACTTATGAATCTACCAACACATGTGCATATTGGTTAATCCTGATTAATCTGATGTATTCTATCTCTAAGAACAATAACAGTTAAAAAAGTATATGATTTGCCTACTTGAGCTAACAAAGAAAGGTCCCAAAAACTAGTTGGATTAAATATATCAAATATATATAATGGTAATTGCTGGCAGAGTATTTTTAGCTTGTTTATTTCCATAAAATAAAGTTAGGGATTCTTTCTATTTTTAGCTGATAAATGAGTAACAAAAAAAGTTAAAAAAAACAACATAAAAACCAACAAAGCAATGTAAAGTATTTCATTAAACTTTGTATCAATGTTTAACTATTGAAAAAACTAAAAAGTGTGATTTATAACAGCACTTAGTTCCTGATGGTCAATACTTTGTAGAACCATCTATCAGAGCCAAGTGATTTGGGATGTCTCTCTACCAACTTTGGACATAAAGACAAACACTGCTTATTCATTTTTTAATATTACACAGTTTTAATATAATTTAAGTCTGAACTTCTATTCAAATATTTGAATATTATGAGAATAAATATATTTTAATCAAGATTATTACATTATTTTACAGTTTTTTTAAGGGCCTTTAGGTTTACTCCTAAGTTAGTTTCCATCTATTTTAACATCAGCCATGATTAGCTTTCCTGTACGTGTTGCATCCACACATAATTCCACGTTTCACAGCAGGAAGGATGCTCTCAGTTTGTTGTGTGTTTTCACATTTTTCTTTGTTGATTCTAAATTTTATAAACTATGTATTATTTTCCATATAATTCCCATTTATTCCACAATGTGTTGAAACATATATAATATTCAAATATAGTGAAGTCTGAAGTTTTAATATGACAGAAAAAGAAGGTTGAAGGGTTGTAAATTTTTTGCAAGCTCCTATGCTGTCAAGTAATGAACATTTTATTTTTTGTATCATATATATATATATATATATATATATATATTTGTTACTTTATTGTTTTTTTGGGTTTGTTTTTGTCTTAATAATGCCTTTAAATGTATTTTTAGGTGGAATCAACTAGATGTTGGGATAGTTGCCTTGTCTATAATGGGTATCACTCTGGAAGAACTGAAGATGAAAGCTGCTTTGCCAATAAATCCTACCATCATCCGAATCATGAGAGTATTGAGGATTGCACGAGGTACATTCAAACATGCACAAAATAAAATCAAGGCTATATACTTTGTATTTAATTATTTAGTAGCATTGTTTGAAAAGACATCTTAGACTCCTTAAGATTTAAAATCACATCCTACCATCCCTCTGGTGTATTATAATGAGAAGGAAATTTTTATGCCAGTATTTTTAAGCATGCTGGCTGAAACTTGTAAAAACTACTTTAGATCTTCTTATGTGTTTCCTGCAGTGCTAAAACTTCTGAAGATGGCAAAAGGAATGAGAGCTCTGCTGGATACCGTCATGCAGGCGCTGCCACAGGTAAATAAGTACTATAGCGAGGTCTTAGACACAATTAGACCTTAGTTAGTCACATAACTTACAGAAGGACAAAAAAAGTATAATTTTTTACAGCTCTCCTCCTTGTTCTTATAAGGTAGTTGTTTTTTTCCCCTGCATGTTGTTAAGAAAAGAAGGATGTCTTTCTCTTATCATAGAACACAGTGTAACTGCAAGTAGTTTTATTCAAAGTTTGTTTGAGCAGCATTTTGAGCAGGTGTCCGCTTCTCTATTTGTAAAACATGTCAGACAGCAAAGAATCTATGTGCTAGGAAAGCATTCTTTTCAGTGTGGTCTCACCATAAATAAAGTCAAATATGTCGTGGATGCACTAGATTCAAGAAAACATTGAAATAAATCCTAATCCTTGAATCCCCTTGAGTTTCAAACAAGTAATATTTACACTGTCGTGCTGTGTGCGTAGAGGGGAGTCTAAACATGTGTACTGCTTCCAGGTGGGAAATCTTGGTCTCCTCTTCATGTTGCTCTTCTTCATCTACGCTGCTCTGGGAGTGGAGCTCTTTGGCAAACTGGGTCAGTCACACACACGTCTCAGTCAGAAAAACAACACACACTCACTGGTCTCCATGCTTCAGCGAAAAGTGGTTTAAGATCCCCTCAGTTTTACTGCAGTCACAGCTCAAAGTATATTTTTCCAGCTGAATCGTTTTTGTTGAATACTTACTCTGCCTCTCTACCACTCTGTTACATTATAGACCTTCTTTTTCTGTAGGAAGAACACATCCCATATGCATGATCATGTTTATATGCACACTGATAAGCCTGCTACATCCAGCTCATTTTCTGTGAGAGGATTAGCCACATCATTCATCCGGGATGAAAAATAGAAACAACTTGCTGATGACAGAGTATGCTTTCTGGGAAATGTCATTATACCGCCTGCTGCATACGCTGGAAGAAAATAATGTGTTTTCTAAAGTGAAAAAATAACCTCCCATTTTTTCATTTTATATTTTTTGTGACTCTTATATGGTCTGGGTTGCTGGCAAAACTCTGGATTTTTATGTAGATGCTTCTGAATTGTCTTAATATAAGCATTTGGTTTGTAAAAACCTTCATTGTACCTGTAGAGAATATAAAGGTTATGGCAAAAAACTGGCAAATCTGATCTTTACTGGGTTCTAAAAAAACTTAAACATTTGGAATGTTGTTAATCATCAGGACTTTTGAAGGAAACAATAAGAAACTCTACAAATATTTCAATGGCACCCACATTAAAGGAATACAAAGTCTTTAAGAAAACCGTTATGCTACGTTCACGCCAGAAGCGTTTTGGGCAACAAAAATGTGTCTGCTGCTTCATTTTTTTAAGCTTGTACACATTAAGGTCAGACACCCATCAAGAGCATCCTTAATGCTCCTGAAGTGCGTCCAGTAAAGTGTGTCCAGATGCATTGGATGCCTTTGCTGCTCCTACTGTATGTTCAATGGCAGAGAGCAGCTTTGCTATATTTGCTGTTATAAGTGGGTAAAAACTAGTTTTAATATTTTTTTAAGCGAGAAAGTAAACCTCAAAACATCATCTGTGCAGTTAGTTAATCAAGATTACAATCCTGCCTTGAAAATGTATTTTGCTGTCGGAGACGCTCAGACTGCCATGTACCATGACTGGGAATCTCCAGCAGCAGCTGGGGGGTTTCTGTTACTGTTAGTCGCAGAATATTTTAAGTTAATTTAGTCATTAATAAATTGTTTCAGAGTAGTGATGATAGCGATCTGCATCAGCAGGGCTGTGTCTGTCTCCCTGCTCTCGCCTGTGTCCAACCTGTCAGACATTTCGACATCTTTTTCTGAATTTTACATCGTAGCATGGCATAGACAATTCACGTTTGCAGTTTGAAGAACACCTGCTTGCTTCTGATGATTTCCTTTAGCTAACCAATGAGTGTTTGCGTTATCCGACTCATCCAATCACACTAGTTTTCACTAGATGTGGATGGCGGCAATGATCTGCATTGGATGGAGCAAATGACGTGAAATAAATATTTATAAACATTAAACCGAAGCCAAGAGTAACGAGTAAGGTTTGTTTTAAAAAATGTAAGGAATAGAAAGTAAAGATACTTGTGTGAAAATGTAATGACTAGAAGTCAGAAGTAGGAAGAAAAATAAGTAACGGTGTAAAGTATAGATACCCAAAAAGTGTACTTAAGTACAGTAACAAAGTATTTTTACTTCGTTACTCAACACCGCTGCTGCTCCTGCTGCTCGAGATGCGCTGCAGGACCTTTTGATGCGCCTCGATGTGTGTCAACCATTGACTTTGCATGGAAACCAGCTGCTTCTGCTGCTTTAATCGAGTGCGGCGTGAATGTAGCATTATGGAGGCGCATCCCACCCACTCCCATCATACTAGATCTCATTAGATTGTTGTTATTTTTTTCACATTTCAATTAAAGTTATATCATTAACAACAAATACTTGGATAAAGTGCTGATTTTTAGAAAGAAAGTTTCGATTACAAGCTGGCTGCTCTACCAACCTCTAACATGGAGCAAATATCACTTATAGCTACAGTGTGTAATAATTACAGGGATATACAGTGAGAAATGTAATATATTATACATAACTATGTTATTTATCATCATCTACGAGCTCAGCCTCTTAACCTTAATATTTGCGTTGCCTTAGAATTCGTTATTTATAATTACATAGGAGCGGGTCTCACAGCCATGGAGGCAGACATCTTTGCGCTACAGCAGCGCAGAGCCAACAAACTAGCGATTGCGAGATCGCCCATTACGCTATATATATATACGGTATATTTATTATCTTAAGTCTACATGAAATCTATACCCTACACAGACTAATGAAATACTATCTGTAAAATTATCTATGTAAACAAACCTCATCACTTGAGAAGGTAGGTGATGCGGACGTCGTGGAAGACATTTTGTCCCGTAACGCTCGCCGTACTGTTGGGGGGGAGATGTTCATGTTGCTGCGGTCTGCAGTCTGGACGTTAGATGTCGCTGAAAATTACACACTGTAGCTTTAAGACTTTTACAAAAATGTGTCTAATTTTTATTTATAGCTAGAGTAGTTGTATTGCAGTGGTAATATTAGTTTGTAAAATAAAAATAAGGTTTCTATTAGGTTATTCTTGTTTTGAAAGTAATTTTATAGATAATAATTTATCATTTGAAACTTTGATCCCTTGTATAGAGCATCACTTGTACATTGATTAAGTAGTATTCATCATCATCATCAACTTTGTTTTTATAGCTTTTTAAAACTGCTACAGCTGTAAACAAAGTCCTGAACATGGTTAAAATAATAAAAGACACATAAAAGAATAAAATGCTGCATAAAGTTATAAAATAAGGCATTACTGCTTTCTCTGTAGCTACATTTCTAACTTCTCGTTACAGCCAATTGCTCTCTTAACAATTTGTACATTTAGAAAAAGCTGCTACTTCTACAACATTTTTTTCAACACCTTGACTGAAAGAAAAAAAATTATAGATTATTTTTCAGTAAAGCAGATATAATTTGAAGGTTTCTGTATATTTTTATGCGCCATAAGGAAAAGTTGCAGCCCTGGAGGCTCAGAGTTTCCTGCAGAGATGTTTAAAGGAAATCCTAAAAAATACTTCGTTAGAAGTGGAGTTTTACAGGAATTAACTGTGTGTTTATCATGCCAGCAATGACATGTATGACTCAACATTGCTATAAAGGTCTTTTTCAGTACAGCAGATACCAAAGCTGTTTCATTTGATCCCCAAAACTAAATCTTATTAGTAATCTCTTTTGATCTACACCCAGATGAATCATCATCTCTGACACTGTCCTCATGCTGCTCCTGTGTGACTCATACAGAGGAAGGGAAATGAGGATCTCATTTTCTGCCAGAGAAATTGTAGATCCAATCTAAAAAAAAACCTTGCTGGGTGTCTTTTATTTCTTTCACAGAAATGGTTATAATTAAAAATAACCTCAGTGTGAAGCCAGATTCCGTTTTCCTTTTATTCAAAACTGTCTCAATCATTTTGTTGTTAAGTCCTCTTCGTTTTCTCCTTTGAACTGACAAAAAAGGGAAGATTCATCATTCATCTGACCCTCATTTGAAGCAGTTAAAGATATATTTTGGTTTCATTCTTTGTACAAAATAATTTGTTGTTTTTTTTCATTCAAAATCAACTCAAGGGCTCTATGTCCACCAAAGATGCATATTTTCCCTCATTCTGTTGTGTCCAACACTCAGCACCTCTCTCTCCTTAATTTATTTATATAGTTTAACCACATGGGTTTTACTGGTTTGGAATTGCCTATGCATTTTCCTAAATTAAGCCAGTAATGTTCAATTAAACATTAATTTACAGCACCAGCTGGTTTGTTATACATTCCCTCAAAAGGAAGGAAAAAAAATCAAAATTTGACTGGCTAAGCCATACTTTCTTTTTATAAAATCTATTTTTATTACTGTTTGAACCTTTAAGAGCTCTGAAGTAGAACAAGTTTGTAACATTCAATCCAATGTTTTTCTTTACCAGTTGTGTTTCTCGTGGAGTAATCCTTTTAAGTCTCATTCTGTGCTTATTTAAAAAAATAAAATATGGAAAATTATAAAATGTTTGCCTTAAATAAAGTTTTCTTGCTAATGTAAAATCAGTCATTAATCAGACGCGAGAACACAGGAGGATCTGGGACCCAAGTTTGTACTGTAAGATTGATTTAAGTCAAACCTTAAGTCAAGCTACAAAACACATCAGACATTACTGTCAACTTAAAAACAGGAGGCTTTATTTGTAGACTAGTATATTCCAATTTTAAGAAATTCATCTTTTGCTTTCCAAAAATATGTTTAGTCTTACAGTCATGCTCACATGACTTACGACTCCACTTAGACTCAAAATATGAGACTGAAGGCTTATGAATAATATCTGAAAGTAAGCCGGTATTTGTTGAACATTTGATGCTTCTCCTTTCACATAACTTTAATGAATAATAATGACTGGTTGTTATGGTAACACTGTGCATAGCATTTATGTACTAGTTATTACTTCTCTGGATTGTTCAGCAGTACATGCAATAGCAGCCATTCAACATGGCCCTTCCCAGTCAAATGCCAGCTGAATCGCAGCCCACTTCCCTGCAGCTCCCAGCAAAATCTCCTCCAACTTCCAGCCACTGGAGTGACCCCTCCTTCTCCTGGGTGTGCGTTTTTTTTACTCTGACTCCACCCTTTCACTGAATTACAGGGAGATGGCTCTTCTCCTCAGTTCTTAACATCCACAAATCATGACAGAAATAATATTTTAGTACAAAGATTGATGTTTAAAAAGGAATTGTAGGGGACCAGCCAAGGAAAGTTGGGACATTTTGAATGGCTACTATTTTACCAGTGACAGAGGTTATTGGTAATCTTGAATTTGGATGTTGTTGGGGTATTTTTTTTTACCTTTTACCTTTGGCTGTTGTTGGCTCACAAATTCCTGTTCTGTTCATGTTAGCTTTATAAAAGTGAATGTCAATGTTTTCCTAACGAAATTGTCTATTAAAAATGTTAAGTAAATTTAACCTACAATATATCCAAATTCTCAAATACTATTCTGATTCTAAAAAAAAAACAAAAAACTGACGTATTTGAATGTTTTTCAGAAATTCAGAAATGTTGGAATAACTGGTGTGAATCAGTTTCTTTCAATTTTCTCATAAGGCAAAAACATTTTATGGTTCTTAATGTAAAAATGTAATATATCTGCTTGTTTATGTTTATGTTCAGAAAAATTATCATTGTTTATGTGGGCCTAAGCATAGTGAAGCCTTGTATGTTAAAGAGATAACTTCAGTCATTAAAGACTTTAGGCTTGATAAAAAAAAACAAAAACAAAAAAAAACTCCTGTTATACATTGTTGATTTTACCTCTTTAGACTTTCAATCTTTGTGTAGAGTAATGCTGTCTTAATAATGTCAAAATATTTATTTTTGTCTCTGTTGATTAGAGTGCAGCGATAGCAACCCATGTGAGGGCCTAAGTCGTCACGCCACATTTGAGAATTTCGGGATGGCCTTCCTCACTTTGTTTCGAGTTTCCACAGGAGACAACTGGAACGGGATTATGAAAGTATGAACAAAGACATGCACACAAGGAGAACTCTCATACTTGATGACTAGATCATCTGAAAGCTCAGAGAGAGCGCTGACCTCTAAAACTAATTATGTGGAAGTAAAGCAGCTTAGAGCATGGCAATGTCAACAATTTAACATCTTTTCAATTTACCTGAAGTATCTAACTGAAATTGTTAAAAAGTTATGGTCTGATAAGAGAAGGTAATTTATGAAACATATTTGTTCATAAACTTTAAATATGTAAAATAGAAATCTTCATTCTTTCTGGTTAATAAGATTGTTTATACTTTAAGTGTTTGTTGATTAAAAAGGATGCTGACAAAAGTAGAAGATTGACAAAAGTAATTTCAAAATAATTTTTATAAGATAAGATCAATGCTTTACCCACACCTGGAAAAGATAACAGCCCCAATGCAAAAAAAAACCCATTGTGAATACAGATGAGAAAGAAGTTTTTATTATATTTTAATTGT